TCTTTATTGCTCATGTGGTAAACAAGAAGATGCTTACCAATTTTTCTCTGTAGAAAATATCATAATGCTAGATATAATCTTTTTGAATAATTTTTCGACTTCATTTAGATATCATAGATGTACACCTACATCTGTGGGGCAATGAAAATTTATCATGAGAGTTAACAATGGTATTTTTGCTGCTGTTCACAAGTTCATAAACGAATCTTGTAGGTTTAAATAGTTATATTAATATATGTAATTATTTTATTTGTTTAAGTTTTTAATATATTTTGCATGACAATTATGTATTATTATGTGTTACATTAAGGAGAGGAACTAGTAAGTTGAAAGAACTTGTTTCTGATCCCTTTGGTTCTCAGTAAAATATGTTCAAAACAATAAACCAAAACTATATATATATATATCTAAAAGGTAAATTTTGTAAAGACGAACGACCCAACCCCAGTTAGTCTAGGTTATCATTTCAATAGATTGATTCCTTTCTCTTTTTTCTATAATGACATGAACGGTTGGGGATTCTATGACATGAGAGGGTAGCAGCGGGGTCCGAACCCCCCCCTTTTTTTTTAGGGATTTTCAGACTGAGTTAATAAATTTATAGTTATTCCGTGTCTCGGCAAGTGGTTTATTTCTATTGTTTGTTTGTTTATATTTTCTTTTTTTTCTAAGTCGAGTTACCCTTCCACCCCAACCCCCCAATCTCTACCCAGGATTATTGCTACGCTTCATGCAGCATAACGTAATACGCCCTCTGGTGAGAGATTGCCCAACCCAAAAAATTCCTGGATCCGTCTATATACGGCAAAGGTACAGTATATGGCCATAAGTATGGAACGCCAAATTAATATTTGAATCTATCTTCAATTAATTGTACCTCTCTTTAAATCAATTGTACCTCTCTTCAAATCAATTGTACATATCTCCAAATGAATTAATAAAGATAGGATAAATTCAATTTAACTTATCTTAAATTCATTTGAAGATAGGTTCAATTGATTTGAAGATAGGTACAATTGATTTGAAGATAGGTACAAATGCCATGAATTAAAGATAGGTCTAATTGATTTAAAGATAGGTGCAATTGAATTGAACCTATCTTTAATTATAAAGACACTGACAATAACAACTACTCCCCATAAAATTGCTTTGTTCGGTTCCCTCGATGTTCAATTTGCTATTAGAGGGAGCTTTCATTATTTTCTATAACAGAAAACGAATCGAACCTAGGTAAAATTGAATTGTACCTATCTTCAAATCCTTTGTGGATATGTTTCAATTGTACATATCTTCAAATCAATTGTTCCTATCTTTAAATCAGTTGTACCTATCTTCAAATGAATAATAGATAGGTATAATTCAATTGAACCTATCTTTTATTGAATAAAAGATATGTGTAATTCCATTGAAGATAGGTATAATTTATTTGAACGTAGGTCTAATTATTTAGAGATAGATATAATTATTTACATTTATCTTTAATTCATTTAGACCTATCTTTAATTCAATTGTACCTATCTTTAATTCAATTGTACCTATCTTCAATTCATTTGGAGATAGGTTCAATTGATTTGAAGACAGGTACAATTATGTAAAGACAGGTTCAAATATTTGAATATATGTTAATTTGGCGTTCCATAAAGATACCGACAATAACAACTACTCCCCATAAAAATGCTTTGTGCAGTTCCCTCCATGTTCAAGTCTCTGCTAGAGGGAGCTTTCATTATTTTCAATAACACAAAACGAATTGAACCTATAGGTATAATTAAATTGAACGTATCTTCAAATCCTTTTTGGACATGTTTCAATTTCACCTATCTTCAAATCAGTTGTACCTATCTTTGAATCAAATGTACCTATCTTCAAATGAATTAAAGATAGGTATAATTCAATTTAAAATTTCTTTAAATGAATTGAAGATAGGTGTAATTCCATTAAAGATAGGTGTAATTCATTTAAACCTGTGTTTAATTATTTAGAGATAGGTATAATTATTTACACCTATCTTCAATTCATTTAGACCTATCTTTTAATTCAGTTGTACCTATCTTCAATTCATTTGAAGGTGGGTACAATTATTTGAAGATGGATACAATTATTTGAAGATAGGTTCAAATATTTAAATATATGTAATTTGGCGCCCCATTGCATTTTACACTATATATTATTTCTTTGAAAAACCAGTTTTTATAAAAACTTATTGTGGGGTCAATTTTAGCCCAATTTCCATGATTTTTTCCCCCATTAAATCAAGCAGAATTATTTAAACTCTTGTCATAAAATGCTAAACGAAATGATACACTAAATTATGAAATACGCTGACTGACGTTTTTCATACTAATTGTTAGGCCATTATTTACACCCTGAATTGTCGACGGATCTTTCCGTTATTTCCCGATCATGACAAGGAGCACACGGCGGGTGTGACTTTCGGCAGGGGATGCTCACTCCTCCATGGCACCTGATCCCACCTTTAATGTTTTTGGAGGTCCTTGTTTGCTTTGCTCCCGGTTTGTATTGTTTTAATGGACTTTTAGCTTGAATACTATTCATTATCTCCATATTTCATCGTCAAGACAAAATTTTTTTTTAATCTCAACATGCTCAAATTACTATGATTTCTAATCAAATTAGAGACAGATAAAATATTGGTTTGAAATTATATGAAGAAACTACAAATAATTCTACATTTTATAGTGTTTTAGTCATAAAAAATGAGCAACAAATATGTCTGCAGTAATATTTTAGAAAAATGCATTTTTCAATGCAATACATAGTGGAAAAATAAAATTATGAAAAATAAAATTATGACTCATTTATGGTCTTGTACTGTATATTCCAATCTTTATAATATTTTTATTTTATCAAGATCCATACTATTTTATGGGTGAAAAAGGAATTTTTATTACAAGATACACTCGAGAATTTACTTCGAGATCGGAGTTCAGAGTTTTTATTATTTTTTTTTACCAGTTGGCAACTCATCGATTATTTATCTTTTAATATCTTGTTATCATTCAAGAATATTTTTTTAATTTCCTGTATAAAAATTATAGCGTTCAAACTGCGAAAAAATCAAACATTAATGGACATTAATGAAACTTCATTCATTAACTTGAAGTTTCTTTTGGGTGTTTAGTGAAAGCTCATTTCCGGAAATACATTTGACACTTGTGTCTTGTTGTGGAAAAATATTCTGTGAGTGTACAATATATTTATGCTTTTAATACCTTGCTGACTTTGTGATAAGTAAACAATATATAGTCTATGGTAAGACATGTTTGACATTATTCTATGCTCTACTGGAAAGAGGAAGGAGATGGAAATTTTTATTTAGTGAATGTCAGAATAGCAGGGACCTATATATGTCCCTGATGAATAGTTACAGACTTTATACAGAGCAAATTTACACTTTTACACTGGAAGTTAGTGTAAATATAGAGTATGTGCATGTATAATAATAACTTGCACATACTGTAAATTTACATGCTTTTTGGGAAAGAAGTTAAAGATTCCTTGCCATATACACTGCAGATAGGGATGTTGCAGATTTAGTTTTGCAGATGACATACATAGTAAACAAATGACACATATACCTGAACTTTCTAAAGAATGTCTGTCTGTCACATTTTTGTCATCAGAACTCCTCCAGTGGCATATATATCTTTATGCCAAAATGCAAACATGTATTTCAGATTGAGAAAAAAAAGTTCAGAGTACTTGTCCCAGGGACAAGAATATGGTATCATAACTGCTTGTTCCCATTATGAGTTTGCTCATCCCATATCAAACTTTTTTCCCTCTCACATGTCTGAATAATACACTTTATTTAAAACTGATATATTTGCCTCATTTTTCATGATATTGTCAATAGACGAATTTCACATTTACAAAAGTTATTTCCCTTTGCGGGGCCAATCTGGGGTCAACCGGCGTAAGAAACTGTTTTCCCTCTATAACATTACCAACTTTTTGGGGCAATATCTCGCAAATTAAATCTGTTTTAATATGTTCATTATGTTTTTCATGTTGCCCCAAACTAAGGCAATTTAGGAACAGGTCAAAATTGTCCAATTCCGTTTGAAGGTTGAAAATATTTACAGGTAAGTTACAATTGAAAGGATATAGTGACAAAAATGAGTGTTACGCCGACAACAGGAGATAACTCTTAAGAATGTGAAATTCATCTATGGATCAAGAGAAGCATATAAGATCGCTTCCTAAATGATTACTGCATCTTTGTAGTTTCCTGTGGGATAATAAGCCATGTTTAAAATAATCTTTAGAGTATTCAACACAATAAATAAGAAGTAATTTAATGAAACCAAGTTGAAGCCTTTCAACTGAACGTAGTTCTAACATAAAATCGAAAGACTGGCTGATTCATTCTGGAAATATGGTTTCCAATTTACAATTGATATTTTCTATCTATAGTATTGTGCAACCAGACAGTGTATATATGACAACTGAACTCATGAGCAGAAGAGATTGATTATTTGTAATGAGTGTCATATCTTTTTAGGACAAGCAAACAGTCTAAAGTTTGTGATTCAAAAATACAGTATGACATTGTTGGATATATAAGTTTTTCTGTTTTAAAATCATCACGGCAAAATTTTTACTCCTCCCAAAGGACAAGCAGCTCATGCTGTCCACTCATCCTTGGCTGATTTTCAGTTTTTCACTCATCCTGGAGGAGTGGACAAGTGCTTATTTTTCACACACTCTCAGACTATATAGAAGTTCTTCCAAATTATTACATTATAATTTTGTAAATTAAAGATATGAGAAAGAAAATAGGGAAGGGTTGCATTAGATGAATTTTGTAATTCAATTAATGTAGAAAAAACTTTTTTTCTGGTCACATGTATTTGGATTTGAGTTTTGATTGTTTCAAATATAACCAACAACTTTTTTTAGATTATAGCATAAAGGAAATGTTATAATGGAATGTTATGGAAAAACCCTACATCTATAGATCCTTTTACTCTTTATAGATTCTAGATGAAAATGGAAAAGTAGTCCTTTAAGTATGGAAAGGAAAGACAGCCATGACAGTGGTCATGTGCATGTGATCAGGTTCCCATGGCGACGAGATCTAGGGAGAAATGTGGAGGTGGATCCAGTGAAGCCAGGGGAGTATACTCTACAAACCCTGTTCCTACAGTTCTGTTCCATTGCAGAGAAGAAAGTTGAACAGGTGGTGGCAGAACCATTGGTAGGTTTTAATGGATGCTAGTGGAATTCTACAGTAAATGACACAATTTGAAGAAGATTATTGTATTCTGAACATTATACATGTATTAGATCAAGATAAAGTAATAAGAAACATTATTTGCATGTATTTTCCCGATGTAAGTAGACAACAGTGACTTCTGTTCACTTGTCCTTAATTGTATTAAATTCCTTCCTTTTCAAGTATTTCTCCTAAGTCATTTATTATTATAGTAAGTATTAAATTTAATTGTCAATATGCAATTTACTATGTTCATTTACTGCCATATTCATTCATACGGGTGAGTGGTCATTGCAAGTAAGGGTGTAAGTGATCAAACTAGTGTCTGTGTCTGTCCTTTGGGTATTTGCGCCATTACTAATTCTCCCTCTCATCGACCTTGGACTTGGGGAAAGAGGATTTTCTCTCTCCCTAACACAGCTTTATCTTGCAATATCTGTGATTTAAAAGTCAAGGAATATATGGTAAGAAATAATTGTAGGATTATTTCTTAGTATTCATGCAATTATTATTTAATAACTTTCAAATCATTTTATTAAATCAAGTAATTGATAAATTATCCCAAATTTATAAATTTAAATGGTGCACCTACATGTGTGTGTGGGGTGAGAAAATGTTTATTATTTCACCCGTAATTATTATATAACGTTTATGTATAACAAAAAACGTTTATGTATTTATTTAGATAAATGCTTTATGCAGAGAAAACAAATCCAGGGACTATAAGGAATTGTGTAAAACTGAATTGCATGCAATTATGTTATATTCTTCTTCTTTTTTTCTGTTGTCTGTCATTTGATTTCTTATTTTGACTGTATACCAACATGGCGATGTCAGTAAATGGAATTGAATTGAATTAATCATATTTCAGGTAACCCTTTATTGTTTATTTTCCATTGATAGAAAAATATATGGCTATAGAAACCCAGCAGCATTTTATTTCAACTTATGCTTTACAAGGCTGTGACACATTTATCACACCAACACATCAACACACATATTTTACATATTAAAGCTTAACCCTACTTTTATTAAAAGTTTTGATATTCTTAAATTACAGGAAAAGCCTTTGGCAAAGTCATTACAAAGAGGTGAGGACACACAGTTTGATCAGGTCAGTACATATGTAGTTATAGCTGTATGAGGTTTCATTAAGCACATTTTGAACAAGGTTATTGTTTGATTTGTACTTGGTCTTAATTTTCTGAAGTTGATAGTTTGAAAATCAAAATGCACTCTTGACTTCAAAGAATTAGGAAATGTGATGAGATTATGTTGAGATTTGAGCAATTCCATTATTAATTATAGAATAATTAAAAAACCACAACAATAGCATTTTGTTGTTTGCCCTAGTAAAGAGAATTATTGACAAAATGATGGCAGGCTGGCAAGGAGTTCAAATTCATTAATTTTGTGTAGTCTGAGAAATTTTCAGGAGCCTCTTGAATGCGTTAATTTTGGATCCTGTTTTAATGTTTTGTTGCCTCTTCTTGATGCTTTATCTTCGGTAATACCGTATATACTCGCCTATAAGTCGGTCCGGCTATAAGTCGTTTGTATTTTATTTAGCTTAAATTAGAGGGATTGACCCGTTAAAATACCAATCTTTTTATAACTCACATATTAGTCAGATAAAGAGCTTTGGACCAAAGTTTAACTCCCAAAAAAAACGACTTATGGGTGAGTATATACGGTAAGTACATTGTAATTTTGGTATTGAATCAGAAATTGTTTTCATCATGTAATACTTGTGGATCTCTTCAAAATATTGCTGGTGTTTCCTAAGAAAAAAATTTTTGCCAATGATTTTTTTTTTTTTTTTTTTGGTAATAGACATGCAAAAGTAATTTCTATTTTTTGGTTCATTGACAACATGTTAAGTACTGATAAAAAAAAAAGATACAAAAAACCCTCAATGCTCATTGGAGCCTTGATGTTAATAAACAAATGTTACATATTAATGTGATGTTAACCATTTTTGTTTTTCTTCTTTGGGAACTTTGGGCCTTACACTCAAAAATAAATTCTTTCTTTCTTTAATGAGGTTGGGTAAAAACAGATGTTGTATTGATTAATGAATTTTTTGTACCGTAGTACAAAGTTTCTTTCAAAGTTTGGGGGAATGAATTGTGCTGTTATAGATCAGATATTGGCTTGTCTTCATTCTTGACCAAAATTCTTTGCAGAGAGGTCACAATAACCGAAATACAAAGCATATTTTTTCCATTGCTTTCTTTGTAAATTAGACTCAGTAAGACAATTTTGGTAAGAGGTATTATAATATTTCCCCGGTACATAAAAATTATAATAAAGGAAAGTGTTAGATAAAGATGATAACTTTTAATAGTATTAATTTAACCAAAACTAGCATTTATAATAAGTGTAAAATCATAGAAAAACACATTAAAATCTCTGCAGTCTACCGTGACATATCCAGATAGAAAGTGGCTGCATTGCAATACCCAAAATTTTGAAAACTGGTTGGTTATCATCACTTAAAAATATTTTCTTTCATTTTCAAAAGAATGAAGGATATCATAACTGATTTTTCAAAATGAGGTACCTTTTTAGGCTTCAAATGTGGCAGAAGAAGTTTGCTTCTGCAGTGAACATGAAGTCAAACCAGCATTATTCCTCTTTGGGCTAAAACTATTCTGCAGTAACTGATATATGTGAATTTTCATGATAAAGTTTATAAGCTTTTTTCTCCAGTTTCAAACTAACTGGAAACATGTTTCTTGTAATATTGCTGATTGTTAATTTTAAAATTCCTTAAAATTATCCTGCTCAAAATCTTCTTTCATCTCTCTGTGGCGAGAAAGGGGCAGCAATGCAGGATCTTTGCCTGTGTTAATACTTAAACAAAATATAGAGCTGTTAAAGCTTCACATCTCTGTCAACCTGACAGTTTTTTTTCTCCATATAAATGTATAGCATAAAAAAAACCATATTACCTTTAATTATACACTGTAATTGCTATTGTTTTAATCGTCCTTGATGAAGATAAATCAGGAAACTAGTCAAACTTCCTTCTTTTGTTTGAGATCTCCTCCAAATCAATTCTTTCTTGCTCTAGGGTGCATCTCTTTTTCTGAAATTTAAAAAACAAATCTGTTAGCTTTTTTTTTTTTTTGAGATATATTGCAGAGACACAAATACATGCTTGTGAACATGCAATCTTCAAACTTCATTTGTGGATGTAAAAAGCATTGTTTTGATTAGTAGCTGTGTAATGTCCATAATTTTATTAAGGAACACTGAAGATCACAGGGATGAAAGAAATTTGTTATGCAGAACAGAACCTTGTAAATCATTAATAATCAGTAGATTTCATACCTCAAGCAATATAGTCCTCTGAAATATAGAGTTTATTATGATAATTTTTGATGAAATACTGTGGAATCATTTTAATTTGTGTGTGTGTGGGGAGGGGGGGATTGTCAAAGTTTATGGGTATTCAAAATTTTACTAGGTCGTGGGGATGTAATTTTGTGGGTAACTGATAAATACAGAATATTCAATGAACTTGATGAATTCATGATGGCAGTGTTGTTTTTTAAGGATGTTAATTTGTTGGTTAGTGTGACCTTTAAATCCATAACACTGGTCCCTCACAAACGATGATTCCTCAGAATAAGGCCAAATAAAAAAATATGTGTGGTTCCGGTTACCCGACCTTCCCTATTTTATACCCCCGTCCCTAAACTTTTTTTTGGCAATTTTCATATTTTTTCCGGAATTTCCCCCAATTTCCATCAATGGATTCAGTTTAAGTTTTAGTTTCAGCAATGACGGCCTCCTTGCAAAACATAGTGCAAGTGTTTAATAGTGTTAAATCCAAAGCAAGCTAGCATGTAGGTGTCCCCAACCAATATTGACTAGTATATTATCACACCACATCTAAATGCCATTTGCAAAGCAGTGATAGGTATTATTTAGGAAAAAATAAAGAAAATCATTAAAAAAAAAAAAAAAAAAATCCCTACCTACCTACCCTAATTTTTTTGGAAGTGTAACTGGAATCACACATATTTTTTTGTTTGGCCTAAGGAAAATGTAACAAGACCAAGAATGTTATATAATGGAAAATGCTTATAAATGCTGTAATTAATTAACTAATGCCTTTGTCAATTGAGGGAACTTGTTGACTGGCAATTTTACAGAAACACTTCATATTTGAAATCAATTACACTTGCACATTCAATTTTCTGAACAATTCAGATCATTGTTTAAACTTCTAAAAATAAACCTGAGGTGGTATTGAGACCTTTTAAGATGACAAAGCATTTTAAGCTGCAGTATTTGTCTTTTGAATGTTGTCATTTACAATGATAGAGTGTGCTTGTACCAAGAGTCAAGATCTGAGCTATTTGTAGAAGTAAGCTAAACTTAGACATGATTACTATTGATTTGACATGTATTTGAAGCTTAGATGATTACTTATGTATAGAGGAACATTATGTTCTTGCGAACATAAATGTATTATTAATGCAGAACAAAAAGTGTACAAAGATATTGCAGGGGAATATTTACAATATGAAAGATTTCTTATCCCATATTTTAATTAGTGTAATTTACCCTCACATGTACAGAAGATAAACACCTTAATAGTGTATCTGTTTATACTAACCTGGTAGATCCATGCAGTCAAAACCTAGATATAACTATTTCCATCCCTCAGTATTATATCCAGTCAGTGAAATGCTCCATAACCTTATCCCAGTCAGGACATGAGATAGAGTCTTTGATACATCTGTACATTGTAAATAGGTTAATGGTGTATGGTACCATTCATAGTACCCAGCACAAAATTGAAAAAAAAGTACATAAACATTTACTATATTATTTTTAATATGGCAGTGATTTAGTGTTTGTATCTGTAAATGATAATATCTAAGTCTACTAGTATTTTTGTGTAGTTTTTATGAATCTATTTTGTTTTGTTACAGATTCTAGGAGCTTTAGGATGTGTAGCCGAGCAGAGTCTTCCCTCCATCTTACAGAGTCTTTTCCGATGGTTTGAGAAACAAAACCTGATAGACGAATCTACTCAACTTGATTCACGACAAAGACACAGGAGTAAAGGGTATGTCATATATATTAAAGTGTCTGTTAGGAAATACTCTTATATATAAAATTATTTGGTATTGATCTACTCAGCTTGACCCATGACAAAGTGCACATAAGTAAAGGGTATATGAAAAATAAAAAAAAAAACCAGACACTTTCTCATTACAAAGTAAAGAATGTGATGAAACAATTACATGTTATTGTAGATTTATAGACCAGAGCTTCAGAAAATGGACAGTTAAGATATTAAATGATGAAACGTAAGGAGTATTTTGCTAAATAAATGATTGGCAAAATTCAGTTATTTTAAACTAAAGCAGAAAATTTTTACTAATGGCTAATACCTAGATGTAAATTAACACAATAAAGAAATTGGGAGAGTAAAGTTTGCTGCTATAAATGTACTAATCTTGATGTTCTTTATTAGGAGCAAGGACTTTCTATGTGAAAGGAGGGATGTAAGTAATTGCATATTTTACATACATTTGACACTCATAGATGATTCCCTGTTTTTTTCTGTGTATTTCTGTCATTGAATATACATTGCTCTCTTAATTACAGTAATTAATATGAGGATGTTTTGCTTTTATTAGCTGGCTGTGGAGTTTGTTTACTGCCTTGTACTCATTGAAGTCTTAGCTAAGGTAATAAAAAAAGCACATTAATTGGACCATGCTTTGTATTCAAAATTTTGAAATTATTTTTTTAGGTATATTTTATGGAAATTTTGTATTGCAGCTAAATTTTCACCCTGGCTATGAAGACCTGGTGATATACATCATCAAACAGGCCTTCAGACATTTCAAGTACAAGGATGGGTAAGCACCAGGCCTTTATTAATACAGGATATTTTACTGTCTAAACTAATTTCTCTTTGATGTGTTTGATTGTCATTTACAAAGGAAATATTTTTAAAAGTAGTTATTAATAATTACTCTCTTTGCAAAAAAATCAATTATAAAGGAATAAAGAACCTTACATGATGAAACAGAAGATGTACTAGATAATATGTGATGTTTATTGCAGGATACAAGCCAATCCAAACTCACAGAACATAAGTGTAATTGCTGACCTGTACGCTGAGGTTATTGGAGTGCTTGCTCAGTCAAGGTATATCAATCTATTTGTTTCCCTTAAATTAGTTTGTCTCGAATAATGAAAAATGTAACTAACATGTTGCACAACCTCTTAAAAAAATTATACAATTATTTTTTAAAATTAAGCCTTTGTAGCAGCACAGTCGTGAATTTTTACTAGTCCCTTAATAATAAGTAATTTCTTGTTCAACTGCCACATTTTATTATGACTTGAGTATTACAATTGTCATAATATTGCTACATGTGTATAACATATAATATTTACATTTGCTATGCTTTTCTACTAAGCCAACTGTGAAATTGATTTGAAGACCATTTTTGTGTATACTCACGCGTAGAAATATACATGGAGAAACTCGCGCTAAAATGACGTCACAAGGAAGCTACAGAGACATTAATAAAAATATGACGATATAGGGCAGCGAGAAATTCAAACATTGAGTATATTTTTGGTGCATTTAAACGTGTAAAATGTAAATACGTGTATAAGGAATGTTTTTAAGTTTAATGTGAATTATTGGTGTGTAAATCGCACAGATTTGCACGTAGGCATATTTTTCATGAAGCGCTAGCGTGCTTCATGAAATATGCCTACGTGACAAGTCTGTGTGATTTACACACCAATAACTCACACAAAACTTAAAAACATTCCTTAAATGTTTACAGTAAATCAAATAATGTAAACTGAATAGACATGTTTCAGTGTTGTCCATGACATCTGACACAGTGACACAATTCCTAGATACTGTTAGTAAGCAACAATATGTGATGGCGATAAATCCTTAAAAAAATCTGCAAAGTTTCAAACTACTGATTTTGTATTCACACCAGATTTCAGTCTGTAAGGAAGCACTTTGTAAATGAATGGAAGGAACTGAAGCTGAGAGATCAGACTCCTTACACAGCTCAGAGTATAATCAGTCTGCTGAATGGCCTCAAATACTTCAGGGTCAAGGTCAGTGACCTAAATATACTCTTAGATAACCTCATTTACACAACATCAAAGTAATAATGAGTTAAATTATAGGAGCTTTGTAACCTTTAAGAAACTGAAGTTTTGATGTTTTCTGTACAGATGCATCCTATTGAGGACTTTGAGGCATGTGTGTCATTCCTCCATGACCTTGGTCATTACTTCCTGGATGTCAAGGACAGAGAAATCAAACATGCCCTGGCTGCATTGTTTGTAGATATTCTTCTCCCTGTGGCAGGAGTAAGTATACCTATGCTTAATACTGGCTGTTGTAAGTTAAATCTTGAAAGTTAAATTTAATTCCGAAAATTAAATCATGTTACACTGGATTTATCGAAAAAATGATGATGTGGAATATTAAAGCAATTTATAGTTTATAGTCATGAAAGTAGTTACTGGTTTGTATTACTAGACTGCCAAGAATGAGGTGAATGTGCCTGTGCTGAAGAACTTGGTGGAGATGTTGTATACACCTGTGGTAGACATGACCATGAAAAAGAAACACTCCAGTGTAAGTAGTACAGTTAAACATGTTTATAATGAGTGGAATAAAAAGCTTAAAACTATATTTCCCCCTTATTGCAACAAAACAGCACAATGGATTAGTGATTATGACAAATTACAAAAATGAAGAACTAAATGTCCTTGGACATTTGCTATATATCTATGTTGTATAGTACAGCATAGCATGGTGCCTCCTTCGAGCCAGCTTTGATTTTTAATTGAGAATGATTGGAGTGGATGGAAAGTCAGCAAGAAAATCTAGTATATATTTTATGCATATTTGAAATAGTGTGTTTATTAGATGTACATGTAAGCCTCCCAATCTAATTGAAATTGGATGTTCCGAATCCGCTACCGCTTCTCAAACATCTAAGAACATCCCATTAGGGGTCACGTCAGAGCAACCTTTCGATTACCCAATGAAATCGCCGTCTCTGAAATCTTAAATTGGCTTATGGTTCGGATGCGTTTCTTTTTTTACTGCCAAACCTAAATGCCCGAGGGGTTTTGTAGTAAACAAAATATGCATGGTAAAGACGGTGATATATATGAATGTGACATGCGGAATATATAGTAGTTTGTGCATTTTCGTTTGGTTATTCAGGTGAGAATGCCAGATTGGCGTACTATATTACATTCAATTTATACCAAAAGTACTTTAATTCAACGTAAGAGAGTCTACTGAGCATCAATAATGTAAAGATGTAGTCGTGGAACTAATTTTAGAATTGTATACAGAAGGTTGAGTCTGATTGGCCAAAATTTTTATGTTTATTCATAATCGAAAGGTCACTCTGGCGTAACCCCTAGTGGGATGCTATTAGATGTTTGAGAAGTGGTAGCGGATTTGGAACATCTAATTTGAATTAGATTGTAAGCCTCCATGCATTGAGTGCAAGGCTAGTAGTACATACACTGTACATGTTATATCCTTTTAGAAGTGTATACTGTAAATCACATTTGCAAGAACTTGATGGTCTGCTCACGAAAAATTCATTCTCTGGTTTATCTCCATGAGTAAAAATTATGTAAAACGGTAACCAGAATTTGTGAAAATTTTGTCTCACATATAAATACCAAACACCTATCTTGTGAAAATAAGATGTCGTGAAAATTTGTTGATATACAGTACTTGATTCTGTTTTGTTTGACTCTATTACAGCAAGTCTTTCCACTTGTGACTTGCCTCCTGTGTGTCAGTCAGAAACAGTTCTTCCTGAATAACTGGCCGTATTTCCTCACCACTTGTCTGTCACATCTAAAGTCCAGGGACCCCAAGAGCTCCAGAATGGCCCTCGACTCTCTACACAGGCTTCTATGGTAAGATAACTCTTCTCAGTGGGAATTATATTTGATTTTCATAACATATTGCGGGGAAAATTATCCATTTAGTGTGCTAGGTCTAATGAAATATACAAGAACAAAAATGACAAACTGTTAAAGTTTGAATGATGATAACATCATGTAGATTTTATGACATACGTACATGTATATGTACTTGTATATAAATATTGTTTTTCTATGACACTGTTCAGGGTTTACATGGTGAGGATCAAGTGTGAGAGTAACAGTGTAACACACAGTCGTCTACAGAGCATCGTCAGCAGCTTATTTCCCAAGGGGTCAAAGGTCGTCACACCCAAAGATGTACCCTTGAATTACTTTGTCAAAATCATACAGTTTATTGCCAAGGTAGGCCCCAAATTTTGTTGTTTTTCATGAAGAGAAGGAGAGATTGTACAAATGTACAGTATATAATTATTGGGAAAAGTTGTACTTAATAAAAAACTAAAAATTCACAGGAAAGGTTGGATTTTGCCATGAAGGAAATCATTTTTGATCTACTTTGTGTTGGGAGACCTGCCAAAATATTTCTGTCCCATGGACCAGAGGTTAGACATTATATCAATCATGACTAAATCAATTAAAAACTATTCAATAAATATTTGATTAAAGACTTGTTCAATCAAAAAAACTTGAAAATGCTATATAAAGACCTTATATAAGACAATATTTATGTCATCCTATATAAATGTAATACATGGAGTTTTAAAGATTGTGATAAAAAGTTATTAATCTATATATCTGTACTTATTGAAATACATGTACATGTATTATGATCAACAGAGGATGAATATTGGTTTGCGAGCTTTCCTGGTGATAGCGGATAGCCTACAACAGAAGGATGGAGACCCACCAATGCCCCAGGCACAGGCTACTCTCCCCTCAGGAAGTACAGTCAGGGTCAAGCGAACCTTTCTGAACAAGATGCTGACAGACACCACAGCCAAGAGTATTGGGATAGCTCAGTATTACCCCCACATGCTGAAAGCCTTTGACTCCATGTTGAGGGCACTGGATCTACAAGTGGGCAGACAACTCCTGCAGACCAAAACAGAAAATGTTGGCAAGGAGCCAGAAGTCTTGATGGGGTTAGTAATGTGGAATTTTTTGATTTAAAAAAATTCAAGTGGTGGTAGTTAGGAATAAAATTTAAAACAAAATAAGCAAAGGTTTTATTGGTAACCTATTTGTTGTTTTTTCAATGGCATATAGGGGAGAGAGAAAGTCAAAGATAGAGTTGTTCAGAACCTGCATCGCTGCCATTCCTCGCCTGATTCCAGATGGAATGTCACCCATGGAGCTTGTAGAGATGCTGAATAGATTAACAGTACATGTGGATGATACATTGAAAGGGTAAGCAGAAATAGTCCTGTGAAAACTGATGGACATGGGCAGTAGTCCAGGTTTATAAACTCGAGGCTGATCTAAGTTATTAAAATCATTCCCAAGTACATGTCTGTACATAAAGATTGTATTCTGTTTTTAGCCATGCCTTTCAAGCTTTGCAGAATCTGATGTTGGAGTCAGCTTCATGGAGAGAAAATGTCATCAGAGGTAAACAGATTAATAATTTGATGTATGCAAAATTATCATTTAAGAATAAAAAGATGGATAAAGCTCTTACTCATAATACATATCTTTAAAGTTTAATGCTCGTTTACATATCCTTTGAAGGTTTTGTGATGTTCATCCAGAAGGAGATCAGTGACGTGACAAATCAATTGTTGGACAGCTCACTTCGTCTTTTGATGCAGCTTCTGGTTCAGTGGAAGGCTAGCATGAACACGAACAAGGTGAACACAAACTTCTTCCATTTGTAAACAATTTTAGCTTGAAAAAGATTTGTCTTTAGATATATATGTATAAAAAAAAGAACAGTGAAGATGATTTTCTTTTAAACTTTAGGATAAGAGTTCAGGAGATGGTAATGTGGTATTAATAAGACAGGAAGTAACGGATCTGAGCGTGCTCCATGAGGTAGAGGGACTGGCTTTGGTCATGATGTGCAGTGCTAGAGTTGTCACTCGTAAACTTGCTGTTCATCTGCTCAAAGAAGTCAGAAATATCTTCAACTCTGCTAATACACAGGTACTCTGTAACTTGCTTCTATCAACAACCACCCATTCTTATTAGCAAGAAATTGTTATTCTTCAAGATGTACATGAACATATGATTGTATAACTAATTTGTAATCAGACATTGCAGATTAAAACAAAGTAATTTCCATTTACCCTTGAATTATGCCATATCTCTAGGGAATATTGATATTTTTAAGTGTACATGTCATGATATTTCAGGGGAATTGTGAGCCCTGTCTGCTGGAGATGATTGACAGATCATGTGGTGATATCATCAAGAGACTGCTGCCATCTCTTCCTCACTCAGAAAAGGTATTCAGTATTATATGCACGATCTGCTTTGTTTCATCTGTTGCAGTTTTCATTAACTCTATTTAAAAAAAATTATTGCTGCAAAGACTCAGCACAATTTTCACTTGAGATTGATGATTTTCTTTTTCTAGTCTTTGATTATGACATCATCAAACATTGACCTGACCTGGATTATTGACCGGGCAGCCTCAGTCTGGAATCCCACTGTCATTGACCCCAAAATGCAGGAGAGACACTGGACAGCAGGAAAGGTCAGTCCATGGATGAGATGTGTGGCTATGTTTGTGTCCAGTGATTTTGGAATGACCGTCTGTCCTCATGCTGTGGGAGCCTCATGGCCAATTGTGTTCACGAGACTCAGTAATGTCTACACACTGCTGGAGCCCAGGTAAATTAGACAATCCAGTCAATGTTTTACTTTAAATATGTATGCTGTATACATTTACATGTATCTCTTTATTTAGAATCATGTGCTACATGTATGTTATTTGGCAGATTTAAAGTGAATTCTTTTGCTGTGAGCCCACTTTATTAATTAAATTAAATTAAAGAATCAGAATATTCAATTTACATTTAAGAAAATCTCTAGCAAATAGGTAATTGAATATATTTATAATGCAGTCAAAAGTTTTTAATTTTCTACCATTTGTGATTACTTAATCATTTTAATGTAGTACAATGATAAATGAGAACCGTACATCTCTGCTGCGTTCCGGCACATCAAACAAGAAGCCAACAACAGAAAAGGACCTGGTCATGGAGTTATGGCAGAACTATGTCATTCTGGCTTGTGCTGTGGCCCAAAAGGGAATTCCTTCTCAATTCAGATGTGCATCACCAGACCCAGGGTAAGTACATTTGATACTGATATTGTTATTTTGCAGCAAAACTTGATTTACAGGCACTGAAGTGGGCACTACCAAATGTAACAATAATTTGTGACTTTATAGCAGGGTATTCAAGTAAAATCTAATTCCAATTACATGTTTAATAGAAGATGATGCCAATATTTAAAACACAACTAGACTGGGTGACTGGTTGAATGAAATGTCCTGTATCCTCTTCAATTCTTGTGTTTATTCTTGCAATGCAATTCCTAACTTGTGAATGGTGTCAATGACCATTAATTAGAATTTTGTGATTTTTCTATGACAGATCTTCCCCAGACAGTTCTGGAGGAGACAAAAGTGACAGCATCAAGAACAGTAACTCCTGCTCGGCCACAGCCCTTTTCCAGATGTTAGTCCCCCTTATGAAGTGTGAGAACATTGATATGAGGGACACCATTGTTAATGGGTTGGGATACACAAACCCTGCAGTTTTCAGGTATCTGAAAGAGAAAAAAAAAAGAAATAATTTCTTCCTCTGAGGAATGAGTAAAAAGAAAAATTAGGAAACATTGCAGATGCTTTGAGAATTAGTTTTCTTTAAAATCATACTTAAAAGTTATTTCACTCTCATACTGCACAACTATGGAATTACCACAACGTTATACAAATAGTTCACTCTTTACATTGTGATGTAATGTAAAGCATACATATGCATTACCCACCAGTGCGCACTATACATGTAATATTATGTATACTTGTGATGAAGAATAAACTGAGATATATTTGCTGACTGTTTTCAGAGAACTGATGGATGAACTAGTGGGGTTTTTGAAAGAGGCTATAGATCGGAAGGAGGGGAACTTCAAACGGAGAAGAAAGAAGGATGTTCTTAGAGTTCAGCTAGCTCATATATTTGAGCTGATGGCTGCTAATAAGACTTTTGCCCAAGCGTAAGAACAATTAATTATTTAACTTATAAAAGTGACATAAAGGCAACTAAAGTTAATTAAAAGTAAATATGAAAATGGCTTCTAAAGACAATAGTTCGAAAGTTATGGTTGATTTTGTGGCATTTTTCCATCAAGGATTGCATCATGATCAAATCTGGTTTTCAACAATGTTAAAGATGTCTTTTTATGTCTTATATCTTTTTGGGACTTTGATTATTTATATGATGATTTCAGGGACTCTGGTGTGATAGACAAGGAGGAACACTGCCTAAATAAGACATTCGTAGAGTACATTGATGGAGCTCGTCAGTATCTGGAGAGCGAGAGTGACAGAAATCTACCAGATTTACAGGACATCAGACTTCACTTCAGTCGCTTTGTACGGGAACTCATCAGTCATACTCCAAGTATGTATAACAGGCTTGTCTTTGTTGCACTATTAGTGTTAAGTCTGCAGTGAAGCAATTACAGTGTAGAATCTCGAACATTGATTTCTCAAATACCATTGATAAGTCCAAGTGAGTTGCAAGTCCCAACCACTTTTTATTTATGTTTTTTAACCTCAATATCTTGAATCCTTGGACATAATGAGGTTTTTTCCTCGGCCATAATTTTGAGATAATGAGGTTAGACTGTATCTCAATCCCTTTGCAGTTTGCATACTCATTGTGTGTTTTATTTTCCAGTGGAGTACAAGCGTTCCTTATTAACCCGAGACCTGAGGTACAGTCTCTTTCATCTGTTTGGGAATTGGAGTGGCAAGTTCAGTCATACTATGGGAGATTCCACAGACAGAAGGTCAGACCACTGTTGTTAACTTGTTGCATTATCTGTACTTATAAGTATTTCAACTGATTTAGTAAATACCGTCACCTTCCTCTAATAATAGTCTATCTGAAAAAAAGTATGGTTAAACATTGGCATTTCGGATATTGGTATCTTAAATACCATGGATATGTTGAATTTAGTTGGAAGTTCCAGACTCTATTACGTTATGTATTTTAGCTCATATCTTGAATCCTCAGATATCTGGAATTTTTCTTTTTGACCTATAAAGTTTGTGATAATGAGGTTTGACTGTACTTAGAATTGGTGTTTCTTTTCTCAACAACAGAGTATCTAAGGAGGAGATAACTGAGTTAGAGTTGTCTGCAGTCAGAGCTATGTCTGCTGTGTTGTGTTGTGGTCCTGTATTTGATCCCAATGGTCTGAATGATGATGGCTACATCTATAAATGGGCTCACATGCTGCTGAGTTCACATGAAGACAGGGTATGTTTCTTATTTATACATGTACATGTATGTATAATTTATTTTTTTTTTACTAACGTAAAAATTTTAGAACTCTAAATGTGTGCACATATCTTGAGTTGACTAATACAAGTATCTGCAAAAACACAATATTCTTTTACAACTATGATGAACAATTAAGAAATAAATAATTCAATTTTTTAACACGGTAAAAATACATGTTATTACCATGGTTAAGCATCATATAGTTAAAATTTGTAGCCATTATGCTTCAGATAAAAAGAGGAATTAGTAGTTTTCCTTATATCAATCATCATTCATCTAACAAGTGTGGGTCATTTGCAATGTACAGTTCACCATTAATTAAGATTTATATCACATAAGATTTTTTTTAAAAAAAATAGAATGTAGCTGGGTGTGTGGTTTATGGTTTTTAGGCAGATGACACAATCAGCTTCCATGTACATAAGGGCACTGTGGAATCATTATATTTCATAAGGGTTTAATTTTTGTGGGTACCCCTCACCCACAAATTTCCAACTTGAACATACATGTAGGTTGATATTCTTGCAGGTGACATGTTTTATATGCATAACAAGACATTCTCCCACAATCATGTCACCACACACCTGTAAATTTTTAACAATCCACAAAAATTGGCCCCACAAAATAAAATGATTCAACAGTAGATTGTGTTGTCTGTGTTAGAAATCAGTGAAGGGTGAGTGGGCATTACTAATTCTATGATTGTCTCCTGCTAACGCAGATCAAAGAGCAGGTAAGCAGAGCATGTCTTGTCTTCTTCTGTAGGCTTCTGTACAGTGGAATGCTCCCTCTGTATTTTAGTTTCACAAGTGTTTTTTGTTCATTTTTTTTTTATTTTTTGGTTGATATTCAATTTTTCAGTGTTTCTTGAAATTGTTCTTTAAAGATATAGGCATAATTGACCCCAATTAACTCTATTCACAACAAGTAAAAGAAAATACTGTATAACTAGTTGAAAATAAGAAAAACCAGATCTTGTTTAATCTTTATATCTGCCACGGCTTTTGTTTCGATCCCCCCCCAAAAAAATGATTTCTGCAAATTACATGTTTAAAAATGTTTAATTCCTGCATGAGCTATGTAAATGCTTCAGTTTTTTAAATCAAAATGTTAATTTCATTAACAAAAGAAGGAAATGCATTTCCCATCACAGTTTATGTTCAACAATGTGCTTACTTTCTTTGTAATTCCACCAAATTTTCTTTCTTTATTTGATTTGTAAGCATGACAGTATGTCAATACTTTCTGACTGCTATCAATTATTTGTAAATATACACTAAATTACTTGATATCAGAGGTAGAAAATGTATCTTGCAGCTTTTTAGAAAGTTCATTCATAGTTATAAAGTGACATATTTTTAATATCTACTGATTCTGTTCATTGTCAAAGTTGCAAAGATCTTAAATGATTTCATCTATACAGAAAAGGATGAGTTTGTTTACTTTTATTGAAACTTATTCTTTGAAGTCAAAAATCATCACATAAAAACATTCATTTTGAATTCTTGTTTGATTGCAAAGAAAAAAAATGTTATAATAATAACTAAATTTCTTGTATGTAATGAAATCTGTATGTAAATGTTGACAATATTCTTACCATATTAAAATTTCATATTTCTAATTTTTATCACAGATCTATGAACTGGCCAAAGAGACAGTGGTACTTCTGCTGGACTTTAACCCTGATACCCTTGGGCTCTTGGATTGGGTGATAGACCGTTGCTACACAGGAGCCAATGAAGTCGCAGATGGATGCTTCAATGCCCTGGCAGCTGTTTTTCAATCCAAGTAAATTTCTATAGTAGAAAACTGCATTATAAAATTAACGTAGCATTTTTAGCTCACCTCAACGAAGTTGGGGGAGCTTATGTAATACCCTCGGCGTCGGCGTCCCAGGTTAAGGTTTTTGGAGCAGTTTTCTTTTCAAGTACTTCTATGGCCTATATTAGTCAGAGATGCATGGAGGATGCTTCTAGTGTGCTTCATTGTACCAGTCAAGGTTTCAGATGCTGCAATTTCAGCTAAAGAATGACCAGGTTAATGTTTTTGGAGCAGGTTAAAGTTTTTGGAGCAGGTCTCATTTCCAAGTAACTATAAGCCCTATATTGACCAAACTTGCATGGATGATACATCTAAGGATGCACACTACTGAACTTGCTTCGGATGCTGGATCTGACCTACATTTTCCGGATGAGTGACTAGGTTAAGGTTTTTGGAGTAGATCTCATTTCCAAGTAACTATAAGCCCTATATTGACCAAACTTGCATGGATGATACATCTAAGGATGCACACTACTTGACTTGCTTCGGATGCTGGATCTGACCTATATTTTCCGGATGAGTGACCAGGTTAAAGTTTTTGGAGCAGATCTCATTTCCAAGTAACTAAAAGCCCTATATTGACCAAACTTGCATGGATGATACATTTAAGGATGCACACTACTGGACTTGCTTCGGATGCTGGATCTGACCTATATTTTCCGGATGAGTGACCAGGTTAAAGTTTTTGGAGCAGACCCCATTTCCAAGTAACTACAAGCCCTATATTGACCAAACTTGCATGGATGATACATTTAAGGATGCACACTACTGAACTTGCTTCAGATGCTGAATCTGACCTACATTTTCCGGATGAGTGACCAGGTTAAAGTTTTTGGAGCAGATGTCATTTCCAAGTAACTATAAACCCTATATTGACCAAACTTGCATGGATGATACATCTAAGGATGCACACTACTGGACTTGCTTCAGATGCTGGATCTGACCTATATTTTCCGGATGAGTGACCAGATTAAAGTTTTTGGAGCAGATCTCATTTCCAAGTAACTATAAGGCCTATCTGAACCAAACTTGCATGGATGATGCATCAAGGGACGAACAATCTCAAAACTTGCTTCGGATGCTGGATTTGACTTACATTTTCTGAATGAGTGTCTAGTTTTAAGTTTTCAGATAAGTCCATTCCCAAGTAACTGCAAGCCCTATCAGACCAAAATTGCATAAATGTTGCATCTAGGGATGCACACTCCTAGATTATTAGTTTAGTGTGGGACTTTGCCTTACTTAAAGACAACATTCGTTGAGGTGAGCTCTGTAATCTCTGATTACCTATGTTATGTGTACATGAAAAGCATGATGGAAGATTATTGTTAAATTTGAATGTAATTAAAATTCAGGGAGTATCCATGTGATCATGTTGCCATGTTGAACCTTGCCCTTCTGAATGTTGGAAGTCCACGGATGCAGACGCATGAGACAGCAGTACAGCTTCTTCATCTCCTCGACACACGATTCTTCCAGGAGCCTGTTTTCTACACAGAATCCGCTGCAGATGACGTTAACCAGGCTCGTTTACCACTGAACGACATCTTTCTGTCTGTGTCCTATTGTCATGCTCAGATGAGTCTATCAGAACAACTGGCCAAATTCCATCCAGAAATCACACTGGATATGTTCTCTGGTAATTATTTTTTGATAATACTAGTAGAGTCTAAAGTGCACTTCAAATCTCCTTTGAAATTCAGATCAGTTTCGTTTTTAAGCAAGGAGCCTGTAAATGTTCATTTGAGAGTTTATCAATTTAAATTCATGTTATACTTTCACTAGTTCTATTCAACCATTATCAAAGAAAAAAAATATTTAAAGATTTTTTTCCCTTCCTTTTAGAAATAACCCACAGATTTCAGACAGCAAAACCATCTGTCAGACAAACTCTGTTGAGGTACTTGTTACCATGGTTACACAATATGGAGCTGGTTGACCCCTCTCTTCCTCAGGTCAGCCCTTTCACTAACTTCCTGACTCGACTCCATGACAATCAGGTGGAGACATACAAACCTCCACTGAAGGGGGAGGGATGGGGATCACCGGAGGCCACAAAAATGGTGCTAAACAATCTGTTTTACATCACAGTGAAGGTAGGTGTCCTTTCTAACATTTTAGTTTCCCTTGCACACTTTCTTGAACTTGATTTAAGCTTTTGGATTTTATGCCCACCATATGATATTCATGGGCATACTGGTTTTAGTATGTACCTGTACTGTTTTCTCTCTCCATCAAAAACTTTGATCATGTTCATCATACATGTATTAAGCAATCTGAGGGTAAACTGTATGTTCATTTGAAATGAGTCAAAGTTACCAAATACATGTACATGTAGTTCAAGGTTTAATTTTCCATTGCTATGAACATTCTGTTGCACACAAACATATCTTATAATATTTAAGAAGCTGTGTGCTTCATTATGTATGATTGTATGTGATACTTGTACTTCTTTATATTTTTTTGTTCAGTTTGGAGATGACCACTACCGGGAGATAGAAGAGCTGTGGGCAGCTTTGGTCATTGGCTGGCCAAATAACCTACGAGTCATCATTCATTACCTTGTCATCCTAACAAACATGGCTGCTGCCGAACTCCTGCCATTTGTAAGCTTTTATCAGAATTTATTCCAAAATTTTTCTTAGCCAGTCCTTTCTTGTTGTCACACATGTATGTACATGGATTTCAAAATATAGGCAAAGAGGGTAGTGAGTTACTTGGGCCGAGCTCGACCTGAGCGCCTGGTTGATGAGCTGATGAATGAGTTGCAGACAGTGGAGACACTGAATATGACAATCGAGCGCACTCAGACACCCCCGTATTTCAGACTCTCTCAGACCAAGCGTAACCCAGTCACCATCAACACAACAGATGATGAGAAACTAGAGACACACCCAGATGCTCCTCTAGAAAAGGGAACACTTCATACAAAACGACACAGTGCCAATGAAGACTTACCAAGTGATAGGTTGGTTAATCTACCAGTATGGGACTTTTTCAACTGTTGGTTAATGATACAAATAATTTCATTTTTGTCTTTCAAAACATTTCAGTACACCACAAACAGAATCCACAACCTCCCTACGAAGTGTCTCCAGCAACTCTTCCTCCCAGGATCAGTTCCTGCTGGGTAAATGTCTTTGTCCTTAAATGTCTCATCAGTGCCTGATTAGTTAACCATAATGCTGTGATACAAGGTTAACATTTAGAAATTTTGAATGGTTGGTGATAGGATCAGATATTGATAATTAATTTAACACATTCTCTGTAGATGAGGACATCCATCTTTCTGGTCCCTCCCCCGCTCGGGTTCCAGAGACCAGAAGAAGTGAATCACCTGTCCCTTATCCACTACCCATGCCAGCTTATGGGGGGTATTTTGCTCCACTTTCAGAATTTCTTCCTGAGAGTCTTCACCCAACTCCTGGTTTCCACAGGTAAGTATGCCTTAAACATCAAAAGAGAAACAGTTCAATAGATTGAAAAAAAAAACAGTTGAAATTTCTTTTGTTACCTTTAACTTACTTGCAGTAAATATGTATTGTAAATGTCAAGTTTGTCATTTCAGGAGCAACATAGCTGTAATGTTTCTGTCAGACTTGGTACTAGATGGCCTAGAGATTGATTGGTCAGCTCATCTGCCATTGATGTTACATGTCATCTTCTTAGGTAAGGAGAAAAATCTACTGGAGAAAAAGTTTGTAAACACAGTCATATTCAAATTTACACATGTACTTTTCTTTGATTTGTTCAGTAGCTGCTTCTTACATGTAGAATATCCTTTTTTGCAGGCCTTGACCACATGAGAGCTATGGTTTATGAACATTGTAAGAAGCTTTTAGAAAATCTGATTCTCTTGGCCTCAGCACAGGAAGGTCAGAACATTGCCAGAATGTTACTGGGTTACCGTAGTAACATCTCAGATACTCTCAAACTTATAGCAGAAGATAGAGAAGGGCCTGGAATTCTGGGTAATGTGCATTAAAACTAAAATAGACTCATTTCAGTTAAATTTATAAGTTTCCTTAAACTCTAATAGCACAGAATATTTTATTCAGGAAAATTACACCTGAACAACTCTTCCAAATACTTATTTTGCTATGTTTATTTTAGAGAGCAGCACGGAGGATCCAATCTCTAGGTCCACCATTAGTGTAGAGAGCAAGGACAGCAACCAGACACTGATTCCTGATGTTGCTGTAGCAGCAGAGCAACTTAGTGACCCAGATTCATTTGACACAGTAGAGGATATTGTCAAAGCTATCTTAGATTTCATGGAGAGCAGGTAACATATGTTCATATATTTGACGCAATTTGTGGATATGAGAGAGTGTTATTTGCTTGCATGCAGTAAAACTAACAAAATACACTTTTTATAAACAGACGTGGTCGCCCACTGTGGAGTTGTGAAGACATTACACCAAGAACTCTGAAGACTCAGAGTGCATACCAGCTGGAGTTCTTCCTGAAGTGTGTGGTTAAGTGCTTTAAAGAGTTGTCTCCCATTGCTCTGGTCGAGCAGAGGTGGTCACATGTGGCTCTGCAACTTGCATTGTCATGCTCATCAAGACACTATGCTGGAAGATCCTTTCAGGTAAAATGAACAAGAATGCAAAGAGTATGATTGTTCATTTTTTACTGTAACATTGCTTTAACGGGATGTGATTTACGACTCTAAAACTATGGTTCTTCAAACCTTGTAGGTGTTGCGAGCTCTTCACATAAGGCCTACCACTCAGATGTTATCAGACATTTTGTCTCGTCTGGTGGAGACAGTGGCAGAACAGGGAGAAGACATGCAGGTCAGAAAACTCAGTAGATTGTATAGCAAAATTACTGTCTTCAGATTGCATAGCAAAGTTTCAATCATCAGATAGCATACCAACTTCTTTTCACCAGATTTCGTGTTTGTTTGTTCAGACTTTAATTTTGCATTACAGGGTTATGTCACTGAGATAATTCTGACACTGGAAGCTGCAGTAGACAACCTGGACATTGAGATGCGTCCCATGGATTACATGAGGGAGATCTTTATGTCTACTCCAAACCTGGCTAAGGATTTCACTGAGGGTAGAAAGGGGTCACTGATGGCCCCACGACAAGCCACTAGTATTCCCCATCATGCACGAAGCACGAGTTACTCTGTGACTGGTCCCCCTCACAGATCTACTCACCGTTAGTAATATATTAACAGGAACTCTAATGCTCTTTGATGTTAATGATGTTCTAAATATCTTTATAAATATTTCAAGGAGGAATCTTCTTAACATTTCTTTAAGAAAGAGTGGCTCTGTTAATACTATAACTTCAATTTTTTTTTTTTTGATGTGCTTAATCCTGGTGTGAGTCAAGTCTAAATTTCACTTTGTTTTAATATCACTGTTTAGAAACATCTGATCATACACTTTGACACTTGGTTACCTTTAACAAGATATTGTTTACTTTATCATTACCTTTGTTAGTTGACCTCCGGTTCCGAGCTAGTACTGACATTGACCGACTGAGATCTAACATACCACGCTCTCGAAGCGCCCAATCCCTGAAGAATGCTGACACCAGTGGAACAGAGGACAAACTTACCATTATGGCTCAGATGTTCTGGATAGCCGTGTCCCTGCTCGAGTCTGATTTTGAGTATGAGTTTCTGTTGGCTGTACAGCTCTTAGAGAGGGTAAGTCACAAAATGAAATATTATGTCCATTGTAAATTGAAAACTTTGTAATGCAAGGGTTGTAGAAGATTTTAAAATTAATGTTACAGACCTACAGCAGAGGTCTTTTAAATAGGGACACTGTGTAATATTTCAAATATGCCTCATTTTGATTGTGCCTTACTGAGGTATGAATCCTGCAGAAATAGCTTGTTTTTAACTGGTCAACAAAATTTTCAATATGTCTATTGCTATCTGATTTTGTCCATCGTCTTGCGATGTGCATAGTTTGTTGGTCATAACCTTTTGAACATTTTCAACTTCTTCTATGAACTGCTGAACCAATTTCAACCAATTTTAGCATAAAGCATATATCAACAACAAAAATTCTGAATTTCATATTCCCCGCCCTCCTGGTGACTAAGGTGAAAATGCATTAATTCTTTGAAAATATTCTTTTTTGCTCCTGGGCATCTGGGTGGCAAATAGGGGACAAAGTCGTATTTAGCAATGATGGTGGTTTTTTTTGTGAATTCTTGACAACTGGGTCAAGAGTTCTGGTGCTAGGCAGTGCTCTATTGATCCTGTAGAGAAATTGAGAGGACTTATTTCTCCTTTGCTATTCATCTGTGATAATTAGACACTGTAAAATAATGTAATTGATAGGTAAATAAATCAAATACCACGATAAAAGGAATTATACAAGGATTTTTAATGTATGATACATGTACTAAAAGTATTTTATAGTTTTTACTGGTCAAGTTTACTTGTCATTAATAGATAAGTAAAAGTGAGACAAAATACCTTATATTTTTACATTAAATGTTATTCATAGACCAAGAAAGGCCAATGTGTGAGGGATTAGGGGATACTATAATTATGTTGTTTAGCCTGGTGATAGTGACAAAGAGTGTATTAGCACTGGCAAGTACAGGAACTTTATGAGTTGTTGCTGAGGCTAGACTAATAATTTTGTTGATCCCTAATCATCCTATTTCTCTTGATTTGGGGCAACGTTTCTTCATCAATCAGTTTGTTTATTAGCTCCTCCGAGCCAAGGGCTCAAAGAGCTAATGCTATGGCCATTTGTGCGGTGTGCGTAAACTTTTTAGAATATGGGCCATAACTCAAGAACCTCTTGGCCAATTATTGTCAAATTTGTCACAGGGTATCCTTGGCCCAAGGGCTCCGGTTTATACTTAAACTAGGGTTGTGACCCTTAAACAAGGGGAGATAATTAGGAAAATAGAAACAAAAGTACTGGTTGCTAAAAAATCTTCTCAAGAACCACAGGGCAGATTATCACCAAACTTACACAAAAGGATGAGGATATGTTGTAGATTAAAAATTATACGAGGCATCACCCTGGGGCAAAGGGCGTGGTCTCAAGGTCACTTCAAAGTTGACCAAAAATTACATTTTTATTAAAATGTTGATATTTTGCCTACTATAAGGACTAGGGTCATCAAATCTTGTCAGTTGATCATCTAAGGACCTCATGTCATGTTGACTCAAAAGTAGGTCATGGTGACCTACTTTTTAAATTTTGTGGTCATTCTTTTTCAAAATGATTCAGAGGCATATTTTGAACAATTTAAGGCCTATGATCATCAAACTTTTTCAGTTGATGTATCTTGGGTCCTCGGAGTACCTCAATTAAAAAGTAGGTCACCTTAACCTACTTTTTGAATTTAATGGCTAATCATTTTCAAAACAATTAAAGTCATTAATTCCAGTAATGAGAGGTTTAGAATCATTAAATCTTGTAAGATGATGCATCTTGGGGCCATAAAACATATTTATTAAAAGTAGGTCACAGTGACCTACTTTTTAGCTCACCTGAGCCAAAGGCTCAAGTGAGCTTTTTCTGATCACTTTTTGTCCGGCGTCTGTCTGTCTGTCCATCTGTCTGTAAACTTTTAACATTTTCAACTCCTTCTCAAGAACCACTGGGCCAATTTCAACCAAACTTGCCACAAAGTATCCTTGGGTGAAGGGGATTCAAGTTTGTTCAAATGAAGGGCCACGCCCTCTTTCAAGGGGAGATAATAAAGAATTAGTGAAAAATTAATAGCATCTTTTAAAAATCTTCTTCTCAAGAACCACAGGGCCAGGAAAGCTGAATCTCAGGTGGAAGCATCCTCAGGTAGTGTAGATTCAAGTTTATTCAAATCATGACCCCCGGGGGTAGGGCGGGGCCACAATGGAGGATCAAAGTTTTACATAGAAATATATGGAAAAAAACCTTTAAAAATCTTCTTCTCAAGAACAGCAAAGCCATGATGAGTCATATTGATATGGAGGCATCCTCAGGTAGTGTAGATTCAAGTTTGTTCAAATCATGACCCCCGGGGATTGAGCAGGGCCACAATGGAGGATCAAAGTTTTACATTGAAATATATAGGAAAAATCTTTAAAAATCTTCTTCTCAAAAACAGCAAAGCCATGATGAGTCATATTGATATGGAGGCATCCTCAGGTAGTGTAGATTCAAGTTTGTTCAAATCATGACCCCCTGGGGTAGGGTGGGGCCACAATGGAGGATCAAAGTTTTACATAGAAATATATAGGAAAAATCTTTAAAGATCTTCTTCTCAAGAACAGCAAAGCCATGAAGATTCATATTTATATAAAAGCATCCTCGGGTAGTGTAGATTCAAGTTTGTTCAAATCATGACCCCCGGGGATTGAGCAGGGCCACAATGGAGGATCAAAGTTTTACATTGAAATATATAGGAAAAATCTTTAAAAATCTTCTTCTCAAAAACAGCAAAGCCATGATGAGTCATATTGATATGGAGGCATCCTCAGGTAGTGTAGATTCAAGTTTGTTCAAATCATGACCCCCTGGGGTAGGGTGGGGCCACAATGGAGGATCAAAGTTTTACATAGAAATATATAGGAAAAAATCTTTAAAGATCTTCTTCTCAAGAACAGCAAAGCCATGAAGATTCATATTTATATAAAAGCATCCTCGGGTAGTGTAGATTCAAGTTTGTTCAAATCATGACCCCCGGGGGTAGGGTGGGGCCACAATGGAGGATCAAAGTTTTACATAGAAATATATAGGAAAAATCTTTAAAGATCTTCTCAAGAAAAGCAAAGCCATGATGATTCATATTTATATAAAAGCATCCTCGGGTAGTGTAGATTCAAGTTTGTTCAAATCATAACCCCAAGGGGTAGGGTGGGGCCACAATGGAGGATCAAAGTTTTACATAGAAATATATAGGAAAAATCTTTAAAAATCTTCTTCTCAAAAACAGCAAAGCCATGATGAGTCATATTTAAATAAAAGCATCCTCGGGTAGTGTAGATTCAAGTTTGTTCAAATCATAACCCCAAGGGGTAGGGTGGGGCCACAATGGAGGATCAAAGTTTTACATAGAAATATATAGGAAAAATCTTTAAAGATCTTCTTCTCAAGAACAGCAAAGCCATGATGAGTCATATTTATATGGAAGCATTCTCAGGTAATGTAGATTCAAGTTTGTCCTAATCATGACCCCTGGGGGTAGGGCGGGGCCACTATGGAGGATCAAAGTTTTACATAGAAATATACATGTATAGGAAAAATTTTTAAAATCTTCTTCTCAGGAACAGCAACACCCTGATTGATCTTATTTATGTGGAAGCATCCTGAGGTAGTGTAGATTCTATTTTGTTCAAATCATGACCCCCGGGGATAGGGTGGGGCCATAATGGAGGATAAAAGTCTTAAATAGAAATATATAGGAAAATATCTACTTCTGAAGAACTGCAAAGCCATGATTAGTCATTTTGATATGGAAACATCCTCTGGTAGAGTAGATTCAAGTTTGTTAAAATGATGACCCCCCGGGGATAGGGTCGGGCCACAATGGGGGATTGAAAATTTTACATAGGAACATATAGGGAAATATCTTCTTCTCAAGAACTGAAAATCATGTTTAGTCATTTTGATATGAAAGAATCCTAAGGTAGTGTAAATTCAGTTTTGTTCAAATCATGACCCCCGGGGGTAGGGCGGGGCCACAATGGAGGATCAAAATTTTACATAGAAATATATGGAAAAAAACCTTTAAAAATCTTCTTCTCAAGAATAGAAAAGCTATGTGTAGTCATATAGATATGGAAGTTTCCTCAGGTAGTGTAGATTCAAGTTTGTACAAATGATGACCCCGGGATAGGGAGGAGCCACAATGGAGGATCAAATTTTTACAAAGGAATATATGGGAAAATTTTTTAAAAATCTTCTCAAGTACAACAAAGCCATTTGTTATATTGACAATGAAAGCATCATCAGGAAGTTTAAAATTCAAGCTCATCTTGGGTCCTCATAGTATGTCATCTGAAAAGTAGGTCACTGTGACCTACTTTTGAAATTTTATGGTTATAATTTTTAATATATTTTAGGTATTAATTGGCTTAGAATCATCAAACTTAGTTGATGCATCTTGGGTCCTCAGAGAATGACAAGTGATAATTAGGTCACCATGTCCTACTCCCAGGTACTAATTGGCTTAGAATCATCTTGGGTTCTCAGAGTGTTTCATCTAAAATGTAAGTCATGATGACCTACTTTTGGAATTTCAAGGCTTTATCTAAATATACAGGATACTTAGAGGCTTCAAATAGAAGTGATAGATTGTACAGTTTATCAGAAGAGTGATTCAAGGCCCTTAGGCCTCTTGTTTTGTTTTATTATTGACTTGTAAGAATCCTTTACAGAGTAGTATTATACTCAGGTGATGTTTATGGCCTTGATCCTCTTGTTGTTTAGAGTTCAGTGCACTTTTTTCAAAAGGGTATGATGTTATCATTAGGGATGGCAATTTCTAACCGGTTACTCAGTAGGAACGATGGTAATCAGTTAGAAAATCTGTAATTGGTTAGTCGGAAAGAAATAAAATTTGTGTCAATTTGAACACAATTTCCTAAAAATTCAATTAAAAAAACACAAATATATATATATGAAACTTAAGTATTTTCACCTATCTATTCAAGCTGATTTGGAGATATTTAAGCCTCTCTGAATTGACATTTGGGGGATAATTGGTCAGTTTTCTAGATGTTATTTGTTGTTTAAAGACCCTGTCGTTACCAAGTCTGTCCTGTGATTCTTTAATGATTTTATCTAAATGATCGTTGAGTATGGTGAACTGATTATAATGTGTTTTTACCTCTCTTTCCTATGAAATTACCTATCTAACTATATTATAAAACAAACATTGTAAATTAATCGATAATTCAGACTTAATACTTAATTTTGAGTATTGTGACAATGCAGAATGAGCTTACAAGACATTTCTTTTTTTTAAAATGAATCTGAGACTTCCAGCATGTTTCATGAGTATTTTAAAGCCATGTATAGTGTATTTTTGCTTTGCTATTAAAATTGAAATAAAATATAAATAGTGTACTGAGCAAATATAAACAGAATACTTCTACATGTAACATCTTTATAGCCTTGTTTATTTGAGTATAGCGCTTGCAAGGATGAAATATGTCGAGAATTTTAGATACGATTAACCGATTAATCGGTCGGAACGTCTTGCAGTTAACTGAATGGCAATTCTGTATTCAATTGCCATCCCTAGTTATCATATACATGTAAGCTACAATGGATATCTTACAAATGGAGGCATGTTTTCTGTAATGTAGATTCTGCAACATATTCAACCAGAGAGGACAGATTGTAGAGAGAGACTGGAGAAAATCCAGCAGCAAATAAAATGGACTAACTTCCTTGGTGTCCAAACTCTACTGCTCAAGGTAAGAATTTTGATTAAATCTTTTGTATTGAACTTCAATGTCTTGAATACTGTTAAATTTTTTAACAAGGATATGTTGAAGGATGGTCCTGATTGGATAACTACAGTATGTTGAATATTAACATCATTATTATGAAAAAAATTTTGACAGTCCCACATTGTTTGAGGTATTGAGATTTGACTGTACCAAGGGGGTACATGTATTTCTAAGCTGATTGAAAGAATCATGCCATTTAGTGCCTATTTTAATATTTTCATCTTGTTTCAGATGGAAATTCTTCATTGTAAAAATGTTGATGGAGGTGTTTTCTTTAACAGGGTTTCACATCCTCAGTGACAATGGAAGCTGTGTGGTCTCTGTTGTCAAGGTTAACCATCAGTATTAATGCCCCTGTGGTGGACCCCACAGAAAACCTGGGTATGTAATAAGTAAATAACACATCAAAGCAACATAAATGCTTATCATTAAGGGTTGTGTGAAAAAAGGATTTTCAGGAAGTATTTGAGTTTTGTGGAGAAGCATAGTCTTTCATATAAAACATGATGACATTCTGACTTCAGGCTTCCCTATAAATGTGATAGCATTATTGCCAGTTCTTGTCCAGAATTACGAAAATCCAAGTCAGAAGTGCCGAGATGCTGCTGATCATATAGTTCAGGTAAATTCTTCATTGATTGATAATGATTGCCATTAATGTTATACATGTATTACTAACATTTATCACTTTTAACTCAACTAGTTCAAACCTTTTGTGATGTAATTATGATCCTGAAAGTTAAAGAAGTACAAAAATCAGAAATAACTAGAAATTGATGTAGCTGAGTCAGGGTGACACCTTGAATGTAAAAAAATGAGTTTGTTTCTAGATTTGCTCTCAAAAGTCTGACCGACTGAACAATCTTGGAACTGTGATGTCCCTATACAGCCGTGGTACATTTGGTAAAGACAGCTTCCAGTGGACCAAGTGTGTCATTAAGTACGTCCTGGATGTTTATGCCTCAGCCAGCCTTAGTATGATCAGCTTCCTGGTGGAGGTGGGCCTTAATTGTACAATAACATGTATAGTCACATTCAGATTTACTTACAGACTACTCAAGACATGGGGAGATACTATCCACTCAATGTCTTCTGAACTCTTGCTTAAGTGACATCAAACTTGCTACATTGGTTGCTTTTATGGAGTAGATAATATCTTTAATTTTGAGATCAAATGGTCAAAGGTCAGGGGTCAAACTGGACCTAGGAAGATATTGACCACTCAATTTCTTGAGGATTCTTTGCATGACAGACATCCAACTTGGTACTCTGGCTTCCCTAAAGGAGTAGATAGTTCTGTGGAATTTGAGGCCAAAGGTCAAGGGTCAAACTGGACATATAAATATATATTGATAACTCAGTATCTTGTGAACCCTTTGATTGACAGACATCAAACATAATACACTGGTTTCCTTTAAAATATTTTAACCCTTATGAACTTTGAGGTTACATGGTCAAAAGTCAAGGATCAAACTTACCAAGACATGGGAAGAGATTTAATGCTCCATATCTTCAGGACCCTTTGTTTGACTGACATCAAAATTTGTAAATTGCTTACCATTAGAGAATAGATGACCCTATTGATTTTGAGGTCACAAGGTCAAAGGGTAAGGTTAAACTGAACATATGAAGCTACAGACTGCTTAGTATCCTTAGACCCCTTGCTTGACAAACATGAAACTTGGTATATTGGTTCCTTTCAAAAGTAGATGATGACCTTTTTGAGGTCAGAAAGTTCATAGTCAAACTGGACATATGAAGCTTCTGACCAGTTAGTATCTTAAGAACCCTTGCTTGACAGACATTGAACTTGGTAGGAAAGTTTAGAAGTAAATTACCCCTAATGATTTCGAGGTCTGATATAGATGTTTGCCTGTTTGCCCATTACTGTTACATAACCTATTTTCTCTATATCACTACAGACATTCTAAATTTAAAGTTGATCCTTTTTTATACTGCAACATGCAAGGCATAATTGTTTCTAAAACATTTCTTGTCCTCTGACCATTGCATTTCCCCCTTGATTATATACTCTTGAGATGTCCAGTGTTATCCTCTCTCTGTTTACAGGTTTTGGAGAAGGGACCTAACAGCTACCAATCCTCAGTGTTCCAGATTTTACACTGTATGGTCCACTATATTGATGTCAGTTCCCCCTCATCCTCCATCCTTAACTCGGAGCTCATCCAGGTCATCAGTAAACATGTTGAGGTCAGATTTCTTACTTCTGTCTCCTGATGTAAGATGTATAATTTTCAGTTGCACAAAGTTTCTTTAAAGAAAATATTCATTTTTCCTAATTTCAAATCTGCACTAAAAGGTAGTAAAAGTGCTTTGATTAAATGATTTGATAAATTGATGACCTTCTATTCTCAGTGTATTTAATTAAATATTTTTTTGAATAAAGTAAATTTGGTTTGCTTTGTTTATACCTGAATTGTGAATTGTTGAACAATGTGGGAATATACATCTTAATGCACAAATACTATGATTTTATAAAGGGTTCACATCACAAGGAGGCCTTGAAGATCCTGAAGTTAGCAGTGACTCGATCCTCTACCTTGGCGGCAGCCCCTCTGTCCACCACCAACACCAGCACCCATGACTACAATCCACCAGTGACTCATACATCCTTTGCAGAGGCGGAGATGTTCATGACCAAAAAGGAGTTACCAGGTTGTGTTATATTCACTTTAAAATTTTCTGTCTGACACTAAAATTGTAGGTTGTAGATCTTTTCTCATACAGTACATTTCTGATATTAGGAAGGACACTGGATTTTTCTATTGATATGAGAACAGTGCCTATTGTTGGTCGTAACTTTGTCAACACAAGTATTCATGGTCCACTGACTGAGCAACCCACCTCACTGGAGGTTCCCACTTCACCCACCAGGAAAGGTACGGGGGATGGAGAATCCTGCTGGAGGAAACCTCAGAATTCACAGGTACTACAATATACATGTAATAGTCAAACAGGGGCTTCATTGTGAGGTCACAGGTGAGGGGTCAAATTTCTTAGTTCATCTCATTCACTTTTAAAATACATGTATTAGTTTTATGCATATTATTTTTGTGTGTGTGTTTTCCAGCCTCGAGTGCGTGAAAGATTGGCAGAACTCCTGACTTGCTATGGACAGAAACGTCTTCCCAAGAGCCCCTCTGTAAGTACATGTCTTCAGATTCTAATGGTAGAACAGAGTCATGGCATGTCCCTAACTTGTTATTGTATTAGTATTATGTCACCATTTAATATGTCTATTTTAAAAGAAATCTAGTAAAGTTTGTATCTAGGATTACATGTAGTTTAGCATAATTGTAAAATGAAATTTAACTAATGACTGTATAGTTTGAATGATATACCATACTTCAAAAGTATAACATTTTCTATGGCTAACATCGCTTGCAGTATTCACAGCATAAACTCTGCTGCATATGCTGCTTAGAATTACAAAGTGTGATACTTATATATGCTTCAAAGGGAAACCCATGTTTCACTTTGTATTTACCATTACTCTTTAGTGTGTGTTTTTTCTGACACAGAGATTTTTTTCTAAAATCAAATTTGCTTCAGCTTTTGGAAAGGAATTTGAGAAGTTCGGAGCACGATTTCTACATATTTAAATTTGCATGTTTTGAAATCCCTCTCCTTACACCATTGTGTGTAGACACATTTCTAGTAATATATTTTGTAAATGTTAATACTGTGCTACTAGAGCAATGACATGACATTTGTTTACTAACCTTGCATACTTTAGGATACTGTTATTAACAAGGTAAGAGAAGCCTTCGGAACTCGGTGCAGAAACAGGGAAGCAAGGCTGGTAATAAACAAATCTAACTTTTGCATGTTTTTTTTTTTAATATCAGAAGTTGCAGAACTTTCAGTTCTATCACATCAAATTATCAGTCAGAATCTTTATATATTTAACTGATACTGATAAATAACTGTCTTGCATTAAATTTTGTAATCCGGGTCTTTGTAAATTTCATTGAATTACCAGCCTGCTCTCCCTTTCTGTATCAGCATATTTAATTCAGCATGTTGAACATTAATTAATAGCCAATTGTAGGGTCTTGTCAGATGCATGCTTGGTTTAAATAAATCCTTATATATACAGTATGTACATACACCTTCCTTGTATGTCAGTATTGGTCAAAAAAGTTTGCTTATTGTATTGTCTGCTTCGTTATACCAGATTCTATACAACAAATTATAAAATTAAGTGTGTACGTAAGTTTGGAAAGGAACTGAGTAATACAGGGTTAAAACAAAGGTTGTCAGTGTAGATATAAAATGTCATGTTGTCATTAAACAGATGAAAGGGAAATGGTTTCTATATAATTCTGTCTTTTTGAAGGATCTTAGTTAATCTTCGCTTTTTCTCGGAGCAAATCAAGTATGCAGCTGTTTTATACTTAAATCACAGAATCCTCCAAATTTAGCACACACACATTGTATTGGATTGGGATTACCATTAAAAAAAAAGAAGGAGAAGAAAGGAAACTTGTTTTACAGAGAGTACATTTTGTATATTAACTAAACTGCTAGATTGCAGAGCTTAAGGAGTTGTTAGGTCTAACTGAATTTCATTGGTTGATTTTAGGTAATATTCAGCCAATCCAGCGACACTTTAGATCACCAACAGAGTGTAGCCTCCAGTGGAGAGGAAACATCCACAGCTGATGGTGGATCCAGTGAGTAGAATTATAGGATATGATATGTTTTAATTTCTTGGTAATGGATATGGATAGATATTGTGTTGGAATAATTTTGAATTGGTAATGATTTTTTTTTTTATTTTCAGGTGACATTATGAATGAACCAAATGTGAATGACATCAACATGACCATTAAAGGATTTGACTTCCTTAATGAGGAGGATTCGGTTCAGTTTCATTTTGTCTTAAATACTTTAATACTTTTATTAATTTGATGAAATACAGTTGAAATTGATTTGGGAACTTTGAAATTACTATAAGCAGTGTATAGTGAAACTGTTACTTCTTATCTTGAGTAGTAATTTTTAAGCAGTGTTTCTACATTGGAACTAAAATGATGAAAGAAATCAATGAAAAATTGACTGAAATTTAGAAATGTAAAAACAAGAAAAGCTGAATTGTGTAAATTTTGATAGAAATTTTGACACTGTTTATGTAGGACCCTGATTACTATTCTTCCTTGGATACCATCAAGCCCTATGCTATAACATCATCAGAGAGAGACAACAGGCCTACTCGAGGTTATGGCAGTGTGCCTGATCTTAAACTACTGGATAGCCTCTCCACAACCTCAGAGAAAGTGGTGTCACCTAGTGATAGCATCAGTCTCAGAGAGGAGAGAATGTCTGATGTAAGAGTTATATCCCTTAGACTGTAGTCAATTATAACAAAATTTGTTCAGATTGTCAAAAAATTTAGTATTAAAATACTAATTTAAGCTTTCTATACAGTCAGAAACAAATGAGGAGGATAGACTGTCCTCTGATTTACCTGGAGGGACCACCATTGTTGTGCCTCACCCTGGTCTAGATAACAACAGTCGTCCTGGAAGCCCAGATACTACATCTTCGTAAGTCACATCCTATTATTCCTATAATGTTAGAAAAAATCTTTTTTAAAAATATTATTCAGCCTTTTCAGATTTATTTTAGTTAACAAGACAAGTGTGTGTATGTGTAACACAGTATAAACAAGATCTAGTGAATGGTGTCTTTAATTAACAGACACAGTCTCCATAGTGAAGAAAGTGGGAGTGATATTGATATGGTGGACATAGGGTCCAATTCAGCCTCTCCCAGCTTTAACCAGGCCAAGGAGACATTTGTATTTATGACATTACAAAATGATGAGGTAGAGGATGTTTGGAGGGCACACATAGCCAAGGTGATGTCGGAGTCCTCGGCTGTTCTCACTGTCAAGACATCGCAGATCTTCCCTAGACTTTACAGGGTAGGAGACCAGTTTATCTTAATCAACCAGATTCTAAGGATATGATATTTGTTCTATAGGTTCCTTTAAGAAATCACAGTGGTCAAGATTTTTTTTTTTTTGGTATTTTATTATGACATATGAATGGATAATTGAAATTCAGTTTCAAAAATTCAGGAGCTTAGAAGACGCCTTGACACTATGACAAAGGAGGCGTGTTACTACATCTCAAAGACAGAATCTCTGAAGCACATGGCTACACAGTTCAATATCCTTGTTTAACATTCAAAATGTAGAATATACATGTATATACCCGCTGATAAAAAATCCAACACATAGTATATCTGTATATCAATAATTTCTTTAACAAACTTTAAGACAAATAATGGACTTGATTTTCCTGCACATGGAGTGCCCTTTCTTCTATGTTGACTCTGATACAGTAAGTAAATAATGGCAGGTATATGTACGATGAATGGTCATGAAACATTTCAAATCTTAATCTATAAGCAATGTACAAAACTAACATGCAAGCATTTCTGTTAACATTTTTACGGTGAAAAAAAAACAACAAACAAAAACAACAACAAAACAACTAATACTAGAGTTTATGATTTAGTTGACAGGAAGTAGAACTGTTGAGAAGCATAAGCTTAGTGTGTTGGAGATCCAGGACTATTATGAAACTTACTGCATGAGGAAGGATCTGGCAGAGCAGGTATGGAGGTCCCTAAAGGGTTTCACTATTAAAATATAGATATTAGATTTACCTGTGTCCTAACCAAGGTATAGCAGATATGTCTTCATTTTCATGGTAAACTTATCCCAGAAAATGACTTTCTTTGAGGTATCTTAAATATTCAACACACACTTGAAAGAAAAACAAATTTATATTACTCCCTTAATTGCACTAAATTTCTTTTGTAGAGTCTGGAAGTGATAAAGTCCTCCATAAAACAGGAATCCCTGGGGGACGGAGGCCAGGGAACTGCTGTCTGTAGTACTGACCAGGTATGTATGACAAGAACACCCCCAAACCCCCATTTAGCAGCTGAAGTACAGTGTATTGTTAGTGCTAAGTACAAGATTGTCTTTTCTCAGGAAATTATGTGACTTTTACATGTACATGTACGTTTATTTTAATTCTAGAAACTAGAGCTGTGTACAAAGCTGTATCGTGTGATCTTCCAGCTGGTATCCTTGTTTGAGAACTATGTCAAGCTGATGGACACGTTCCGATCTGTTACTTCATCTCCACAGGTAAATTTTTATTTTTCCCCATCTCCAGCAGTAAAGGAATATTATGGTATTTTGTGTATGAATTACTGTTACACAGTTTATTATTTTATGCCTTTAATGCTCTTAATGAATTGATCTTGTGTAATGATAAGCATCTATAATCAACCCTCAGTATCTCAAACTCAACAAGACTGAACAAATTCTGACAGACTGTGAAGCTTTGAAGCTTATGGGATCACCGATCTGTGCAGATTAATCATCAGATGGTAACCCAACAACCATCAATATAAGAATTATTAGGTTTTTTTAAATTAGATCAGGTTCCGTTCTCAGAAAATTCATGTTGATGATGCTTGGTGAAGCTGACTTAAACTTTAAAATTTCAAATATTAAGAAATACCGTTTTCTCACATCAGATAAGCTTTTAAGGAAAGTTAATACATGTGTGAGAGTGAACTTAACCACTGCTGCCATATGTACACACCGGCCACATGCAACACACAATCAAGATAGATTTAGCTTGATAAGACAACCTCTATTTATAGAATGGTGGAAAACTTCACTGCCTCACTATGTGCGCATAGTAAATGCGCACTTGTAGAAGCAGGATATAATTTGGTAAGCAGCAGACCTTGTCAGGTGGATGTTGCAGTATTTAGCATATAAAAGAATAAAAGGAAAAAAAATCGAAGATGACAATAAATGAAGTGATAGTATTGTGAATTTAAGTTAGAGATATCGAACAAAATAATCTGGAGAATGTTGTTCCAATTAAATCAAATGTGGATAATTAAATGCAATATCCTGACACTGAGGTTATACAGTGTTATACAAAGATGATTAAAAACCTGCTTTCCCTGTGTTTTAAAGACTTTTTAACTGCATGTAATAATATAATGCCAAATAATATTTCTGAACTTGTACTATAGCAGTTATTTCATGTGTGTTTCGAGTAAAACATTTCTGATCACTGCTTTAGAAATGAGCCTGGCACTCTGTACTTCTAAGTGCTTTGATTTTTACTATGAATGTTGTTCTCGTAAAAGTGGTTAATATTCATGTATAACTTTCAGATTGCAGACATGTCTCTACAAGTGTCATCGGTGCGGGCTGAGGTGTCACAAGCTCTTCAGGAAATGGAGAATGGCCAGGTCTCACCAATCAACACAGACTCTAGTAAAATCATAATGAAGGCAGAGGCGGTCACCAGTTTACTGGAGTACATCAATGGGCACCAGTTTGTGAAGGCTGTCCAACTATTGAGGTCATTTAGGTATTACGAGAGTTATACTGTATAGAATACATGTAAATGGTTACTGTCTTGAAATATTAACAATATTTTGGTGAAGGTAAGAAAATGTGGTAGAGGGAGAAGCTTGCTGCAATATTTGGGCGAGGGTAAGAAAATGTTTTAGAGGGTGAGGCTTGCTGCAATATTTGGGCAAGGGTAAGAAAAGGTTTTAGAGGGTGAGGCTTGCTGCAATATTTGGGCGAGGGTAAGAAAAGATTTTAGAGGGTGAGGCTTGCTGCAATATTTGGGCGAGGGTAAGAAAAGGTTTTAGAGGGTGAGGCTTGCTGAACCCTCTTTGCGTTTTTGACTTGAGCCAAAATATTACTTATATTTCAAGACAGTTTTACATTTGACCACCAAAATTAGCTACTTTCAACAAATTAAGGCACATCTCTGCTGTTGAACCTATGACACTTTGGAATAAACAGTCAATAAAGAGGACATCACGATGATGTCGGGATCCACAAGGGTATATTTTGACATGAACCTTTATTCTGTCAATGCAAGCAGTGGTGCAAGATTAAATGTTTAATTCTTTTGGATTTACTGCATGCAGTATTTTTTTATGTGTAGATTAATGACTGAAAATTTGATTTATCTGAAGATTTATAAAGGGTGAAATATATTAAATGGGTTTGTTAATATTCTTTCCCAGTTATTATCTCCTCACAGTTAGTTTTTAGCTCACCTGAGCTGAAAGCTCAAGTGAGCTTTTCTGATCACCCGTTGTCCGTCATCCGTCCGTCTGTCCGTCCGTCTGTAAACTTTTCACATTTTCAACTTCTTATCAAGAACCACTGGGCCAATTTTAACCAAACTTGGTACAAAGTATCCTTGGGTAAAGGGGAGTGTAAATTGTTTAAATAAAGGGCCAAGTCCCCTTACAAGGGGAGATAATCAAGAAAAGACAAAAATAGGGTGGGGTCATTAAAAAATCTTCTTCTCAAGAACCACTGGTCCAGAAAAGCTGAAACTTATATGGAAGTATCCTGGGGTAGTGTAGATTCTACATTCTTCAAATCATAACCCCCGGGGGTAGGGCGGGGTCACAATAGGGAATCCAAGTTTTACATTGAAATATATAAGAAAAATCTTTAAAAATCTTCTTCTCAAGAACCACTGGGCCAGAAAAGCTCAAACTTATATGGAAACATCCTGGGGTAGTGTAGATTCTAAATTGTTCAAATCATGACCCCTTGGGGTAGGGCGGAGCCACAATAGGGAATCCAAGTTTTACATAGAAATATATAGGAAAAATCTTTTAAAATCTTCTTCTCAAGAACAACTGGACCAATAAAGCTGAAACTTATATGGAAGCATCCTGAGGTAGTGTAGATTCTAAATTGTTCAAATCATGACCCCTGGGGGTAGGGCGGGGCCACAATAGGTATATTAAAAGGGAGGAAATCTGGTAAAGAACAGCATGGCCAAAGTTACTCAGGTGAGCGATGTGGCCCATGGGCCTCTTGTTGAAGAGAGAACTATGCCAGTATGTGTGCAGTCCATGTATTGTCTCATTATGGACTTAATAATAGTACTTTAATTACGGTGTCAGATGATTTAAATTCAAAAATCAAATTTACTACAGACTTGTTAGGTGATCAGAAAAAGAAGCCTCTCACCATGGAGGTCAAAGCCAAAGATCAAATTGTCAAAGACAGGTTTCCTAAACAATGTGGACACTATGTGAAGTACTCTTTGAGCTTTCTTATTAGAAAACATCTACTGTAATAAGTAGCAATTGAAAAAAAAATTATTAGTTTGTGAACAAGGACGTCAAAGGTCAAGGTCAAACAGTGAGGAATGAAGGCAATGTTGGGACAAAGAGTTCCATTAGACTTTCAAGTTTCCACAGGTCAAGGGCAAGATCTAAATATTTGATAGTTTTCTGTGTTAATATGAACATTCTATGTAGTCTTCCAGTCATGTACATTGTATCTCAAATACACTTTATTAACCTTGCTTTCAGATGTAATTGGCCAAATGATATATTTGGACAAACAAGTGATGATGACATCATTGCCATCCTGAGTATTTACTGTGCTTCCCAAGCAGAAAAACGTACAGGTAAAATTCTGTTTTCTTCAGGAATAATTTTGATTAAGTAAAATGTCCTTAAAGAACTGTAGATGTTGGAAAGCAAGAAACATTTTCGATAACTGTTCTGTAGTCCTGGACTAGATCTAAGGACTATTAACTGTATCCAAGGACTGTGATGCATAGGTTTGAATGAGATAACAGTTTAAAAGTATACATAATGAAACCAAATTGAATTGTGTTAAACATTAATTGTTTTATTGAAAAACTAAATAATTTAGGAAGTCTCTGAGAGGATACTTTGTTTTTAGGGATGTTTGTCGTGTTATTTCTGTGGGTTTTTTTTGACAGGACTCTTTGTCCTGATGGGGCTGGACATTGACCTAGGACTCATTAAGAACCAGCTGATGCAGCTCAACATCCTGATGAGGGGTAGATCTTCTTCAGTCCCCTCCTTGACCCCTCAGACCCCCGAGGAGGAATCTCACCAGGACTCCAGCTCCTTATGACTAGAGCACCTGGGAAAGATGTCATTTGTGTGAAACAAATAAGGAAGTTTAATAGACTCTTATTTCACTCTGAATTTTTTTCAGTTACGAGTGCAATTTACATGAACAACATGATTAACATATAGCTATAGTTTGTTTGAAATGTGTATCACTGATATACATGTATGATTATCTACCAGGAAGTAATGCTCAGATGCAAAGCATAATTCTGTACATCTATGTATTTCTATAATTCATAGATTATTAAATTATACAATTTATCAAATATTTTAATATTGCTACACTGATAAACATGATAACTACCTATACTGTAAAGTCAAGTCTTAATACAAAATAGGAAATCACTCATAATTATTCACAAATGACACCTTTCCCTGTGGCTTTTCAGCACATCTTACCTATATTTTTGTTGGACATGTAGCTTTTAGGGGATACTGCTGATTGGCCACACTGAAAGTTAACTTTAAATTGTACATAGAACAATTATTGAAAATGTCATGTAGAACCGTTTCTTGTTATTGGTGCTGAATAACATGTTTGGGAATCAGTAAATTGATAGCATGTTTTTATGTAATATGTCATTTTGTGTATCTTTTGTATTAACATTTTATCAAAGGTTGCTTTTACACTGAATGATTGTGGCATTTAACATTTTGTGCTATTTGCTTATAAACTGGACCATGTTTGATGTTAAAGATTTGCATATAATATTATAATTTATAGTTTATTTGCCCTGTATATAATGAATTTTATTTGTTGCTATTGATAGTGCTTACATATTTTTCTTTTTACTTCTCTCTCTCTCTCTCTCTCTCTCTCTCTCTCTCTCTGTCCATGCATGGTATCTCTCAAGTCGAGATCCATGATATATAAGGGGTGACCATGTAAAGTGCAATTTTTATTTCCCATTGATACCTCTTTGTATGTGTTTATTCTAGTCTTTTTATTAGGTCACCTGAGTCACTCAGGTGACCTATTGCTATCTGTTTTCGTCCGTCGTCGTCCGTCGTGTGTTAACATTTGAACATTTTCAGCTTCTTCTCTGAAACCGCTGAACCAATTTCAGCCAATTTTTGCATATGGCATCTATGTGTGAAGGGGAACAAAATTTGTGAATTTCATGGTCCCTGCCCCCCTGGGGCCTGAGGGGTGGGGCTAAAACCATCAAAATTAATGCAATCTTTAAAAATCTTCTTCTTTACTCCTGGACATCAAGCAGTCAAACTGTTGACATGATTGTAATAAGCATTGAGCCCTCTACCAAAATTGTGAAATTCATGGCCCCAGGGTCAGGGGTTCTGGTGCTAGGGCGGGGCTATATAGATCATATAGTGAAAGTGCATTATTTCTTTGAAAATCTTTTTCTCTACTCCTGGGGATTATTAAAACAAATTGAATACATAGTTATGATAAGCAAGGGTGACTCTACCAAAATTGTGAAATTCATGGCCCCAGGGTCAGGGGTTCTGGTGCTAGGGTGGGGCTATATAGATCGTATAGTGAAAGTGCATTATTTCTTTGAAAATCTTCTTCTCTACTCCTGGGTATTATTTAAACAAATTAAATACATAGTTATGATAAGCAAGAGTAACTCTACTAAAATTGTGCATTTCATGGCTCCTGGGTCAGGGGTTCTGATGTTAGGGCGAGGCTCTATTTATTATATAGTGAAAATGCATTAATGCTTTAAAAATCTTCTTCTCTGCTTCTGGGTATTATTTAAACAAACTAAGTACATTATTATGATAAGCAAGGACACCTCTTCCAAAATTGTGAAATTCATGGCCCCAGGGACAGGGGTTCTTGTGCTAGGGTGGGGCTATATAGCTCCTACAGTGAAGGTGAATTATTTCTTTGAAAATCTTCTTCTCTGCCCCTGGGTACTATTTAAACAAACTAAGTACATTGTTATGATATGCAAGAATGCCTCTTCTAAAATTGTGAATTTCATGGCCCCAGGGTCAAGGGTCCTGGTCAAAAGGGGGGGGGGGGCTCTATTGATTATATAGTGAAAAATCAAAATTTCTTTGAAAATATTCTTTTCTGCTTCTGGTTAAAAAGCAAAGAAGCTAAGTATATAGTTATGATGAGCAAGAGTGCTTCTTCCAGAGTAGTGAATTGCATGACCCCTGGGTCAGATGTGCTGGTATAAGGGTGGGGCTGTTGATAATGTAGTGAAAATGCATTAATTCTATTAAATGATCCTGTCTGCTCCTTAATGTTAAGCAGTTAAACAAAGTGATTACTTATGATGAGCAAACTTGAAACTTCTGGTCCCAGGGTGAGAGGCTCTGGTGTTTCTCGGTGGTGAAGGGGAGGGGGGGGGGGGGGGAGGGGTTCTATTGATAATATAGTGAATCTGTAGTGAAAATGCATTATTTCTTTAAAAATCTTCTCTGCACTTGGGCATATCAGAGGCAAAAAGTGTAAAAGTTGTAATAAGGAAGGGTATTTTTACCAGATTTTTGAACATCTGGACCATTTGGTCAAGTGTTCTGGTCCTAGCCAGGGCTCAATTAATTTGCATTCTACTGAGAGGAGTTATTCCCCTTTGCCGTTTACTTTTGATAATTAATCATTGTAAATAATGTTCATGAAAAATTAATAGAATAAGAGAATTATGCAAGAATTTTTATTGTATAATACAAAAAGTATTTTCATAGTTTTAATGATCATGTGGAGTTGTAAGTAATAGATAAATAAAAATGAGACAAAAATAACTTGTCTTATTAAATGTTCATCAAAGACCAAGAGAGGCCAATGTAAGAGATTACAACAAGGAATTAAAATAGTACAAAAGCACTGATAGTTTGGTAATATACTGTATGGTGATAGTGATAATTGGGGAACAGATTAGAACCTAATTTATGAACTGTTAATGAATAGTAGACTAATTATTTTGTTGATCCTGGTCACCCTATTTTTCTTGCTTTTGGGCAACAAAGCTTCACCTTTCATTTCATTTTAATACTCTATGGATCCTCTAAATTGTTGTATTGTACTCAGGTGACCGTTAAGGCCCTTGGGCCTCTTGTTCCATTAACTTTCAGAAATGTGATTGGGCTGAAGATTTTTTTTTTTAAGTACATGTACTAATAAGGCCCTGAAACATAGAAGAAATAAGCTTTACTAAGTTTCATTTTAATTTCATGCAAGAAGACAGTGTGTGGAATTTGGATTTTTTAACAAACTGTTCATGTCAGACATACTTGGATACATACATGTACATATAGTAAATCTAAAAAACCATCAGCAATTCTATTCATTTATTACACTTGCATTCACTTGTGTATATTGGATAAATACTTTTATATATATGTTTGGAATGTTAGCACCTCTTGCATAGACATGTACATGTACATGTATTAATAAAGTACTAAATATCCGTACAGAGTTCTGTTTTATGAGAACAACAGGAATACATAGAAATTAATTCAATGCTTTGGTTTGGGTATTGTGAATCATATACCATTACAATTTACTGGACCTAATTTTAACTCAGTTTGTCACATGGTTTATAATGTCCTTTGTACAGTTAGCAGGACTGTTTCTAATCATTATTCACAAGAACTTTACTTTGAAAAAGTCTTGCCAAAATTATGTTTTAAAAAAAGTTCCTCCATATAAAATATTAATTACAATATACAAGTAGTTTAATTGGAATGGAAATGTCACACAGTTACTCTCAGTTTGACATTTTTTACTTAGTCATCATCCATATCGTCATCTCCTTCATCGTCCTTCTTAGGATGACAGCGTTTGTATACAAACACAGTGAAATCCAGTAGGAACAGAACACTGATAATGATTGTCATAACTATAAAGGTATAGTAGGCTGTGTAGAACATTAAGCTGTTACAGCTGGTGTCTTCCTTAGTGAAGGCTGCTATGTCACCTGTACAGAGAAACAAATACATTGGCATACAATAACGGAAAAAGCCTGCACAAGTGTGTCAACTGTAAAATGCCAATGAAATGGGGAGTTATACAATTACAAATATAATTACATATATAATTGCAAAAAATGGAAAGATCAATTTAAGGACTCCTCACTGACATTATAGTTGATTTGTTCATCATTTGATTCAAATAGATACAAACTAGAAGAGACACATGCTGTATGTTTGTTGGATGAAGTAAAATCTAAGAGGGGCACTTGCTACGATTTAGTTATAACAAGTACCTGAAATAATTGGGAGTATATATACATGTTATGAACTCACTAGTAAGACTAAAATACTAGTAGAAGCTAGAAGGAAGCAGTTTTCAGTGATTACAGGACAGGAGGAGTAAACCAAGAGAGATTCATATATTATAGTCACACTACTGGATGACTTGGATTTACAAGTGGAACTTGCATTTTAAAAAAATATATTTCCGTAGCATTAGAGTAAAGCTTAAAGTTAAAGCTTTGAAAAAGGGGCGAAATTATATAAAAGTGGCAAGGGGGGGGGGGGTCGCAGTTCCCCTTTCCCCCTTTTTTGGCAATGGACGTAAAGAAATCTGATAGTAGTAAACGTATTCAAATATGCCATTTACTTTATTTGACTGCAACTGAGCTTTTATTGAATCTAATTCAGGTACCAAAATGTGCAAATATCATACCCCGAAAATAAAATTAAACATCACTGGTTCAATACATACTGCTTTCATTTATACTAGGAATCTGGCGGCAAAACGGTATATACACCCCCTACACTTTATCCGCAACTGATCGTCACAGTTTTTATTAATTTTTCTGTTATTTGTAGAATAATCATAGAATTGGGGAAAAAATGACAAATAAGAAGGCACAATATATGTTCAATGTACAATACTTATATGATCGAAAAACTGGACTCGGAAGGGCACCTGCTAAAAGTACGATGACATAGGTCCAGTTCATGCTATTGTCCAGCCCACTAGTTTCGCTCATGAAATCTGCCCCCTCGTGTTTGTTTTTCCTCCAAGTGGTAACAACGATTGACAACTGTAGCAGGAATGATAAGCATTTGAGGATTCCAGTACTACCAAGTAAAACCATTACTACGGGCAACAAAGGGATGTCCCCGCACTCCGTCTTGTGGGATGCACCTGGGAAATATAACGTAATCTATTGAAAATATCATTTTTTAACAACTGATCCTTTGTATTGTGAAAAATCATCTGTGTGGACTACAATTTTAATGTTGAAGTTGATAAAATATGGCCAACACATTCTGAGTGTCCTCCTGTTACTTCAAATGCTAATCTTATAAATGCTATTAAAATATTGCAGTATTACGTTACCTAGACAAATATACCAGTACTTAAGAAAGTGTAATGGGGGGAAAAAACATACCAATAATCGCCAAATAGATGTGCCATCCCAAGAAAGTTAAAGTCAACCCAATGAAGACCTCTGCAAAGGTAAAAATATTTCATTGGAATAATATTTTATATGTTTCAAATCAAGTACGTAATTATTTTTTTGCCTATGCGATTTTAATGATAAAAACAATGGAGAGTAAGAGATAAATCCTATACTCAGTAGTTCATTTTCAGAATTATGGTAGACCTACACCAAACGCTACCTCAATTGCAAAATATACTACAGGTATAGATCCTTTAATATATATGCGGGGATTTCGGGGGCACCACTCGCGAATATTTTATTTTTGTATTTCTGAAATGTGTGTAAAAATCCTAACTCAGCAGTCTGCTCGCGAATTCATTTTTTCGCGATTTGACATCTTTGAGTACACGTAATTTTAAAAGCACTTGCGTAAGAAGGAAGCTACAGATCATTAATGAATTCAGCAGGGGGACCGTGCCCCCCCCCCCCCCCCCATGATTTTCAGTTATTAAAAAATCTATGAAGTAAAGTAGGGTAAAAATGACTTAAGGTATCCCCTTATTTTCAGTCTCATTTAATTTTTGCATTTAGCAATTTTTCTGCTCTTTTCCTTCCTTTCCTCTGTTTTGTATTGTGTGTGTCTTCCTTTTGCTTGTCAGATGATATTTTGAGAGAGAAATTTCCTGACTAGAAATAGTTCCACCCTTCTTAAATCTGGATCCGCAAATTAATGCACTGCACAGAGTATACATGGCATAAGCATTGGTGAATCTCAATATTTTTAATTAAAGGTCTTGAAATTAACTTTTTGTTTAGCTTTGGTGACATCGTCTTCGATTTATTTGGTTCATTAATCAGTTCGTTCTGATCATCTTTTATACAAGCAGATGACAAAACCTGCATTGTCATGCTGATCTCTTATAAAGTTTTGCTATAATTCACGACTATGTATATCTTGAAGTTGAATACAGAAGATTTACACTTTATCTGTCAAAGAGGCTGAAAATTTCCCGAATTTTTTTAGTTCTTTATAACATATATATATCTTGATATATATATATATATATATATATATATATATATATATATATATATATATATATATATATATATATATATATATATCAGATGCAACAGGAATGCACGCCCGTAGGAAGGAATTTCACTTTGAGGGGGCACAAGCATACATTTTCAGTTTTTCAATTGGGGGGGGGGGGGGGAGGGACTATGAACTACCAAAATTCCTTGACAAGCAAAAAAAAAAAAAAAAATAAAAATAAATTAAAAAAAAAAAAAAAAAAAAAATAGAAAACGGTCATCAGACACTATTATTGAGGGGACACAAGCATATAGCAGCTATGTTTTCTATAGTATTCTATATATCGGCAAAATTATTGGAGGGGGGGGCACGCCATATAATAAATAAAAAATGTAGCCGGATTTATTAATCATAAGATAAAATGTATGAATGAGATGAATGTTAAATCAAATAGATTATTAGGTAGCAGTATTTCAGGCCTGTAGGAAGCAATTTAAATTTGGGGGGGGGGGGGCACAACCCAACGAAAAATCCTTGACAAGATTAAAAAAAAAAGATCATCAGATCAAACATTATTAATGAGGGGGCACAGCAGTAGATTAACTATGTTTTCTATTGTTTAAATATTATAGAACATGTATTTTTGCAAAATTATTGGAGGTGGGGTACGCCCCCTCCCCCGTTCCTTTGGGCCTGCGTTGGAAAGAAAAACGAGCAAAGACCTATGTATGTCAGTACTGTGTAACCTAAGATTGGAAGACAATGTATACATGTACAAGGCCAATATAAGTACTATGGGAGTATTCATACCTGCTCCCCAACGCCCCACTGTGTTTCTGGCCACCAGCTTTCGTGTAGATTGCGCTGACGTCACTAGGCTGCGATATGGCATCTTCATTCTCTCATGGCAAGCCACTATTATTAAAAAAAAAGATATGAACTTCTATTTCATCTGTGTTTGTAAGGGGGGGGGCGTTAATCTTTCCGGGGGAAAACACATTCTGCACATGCGATTGTTGTCTCTTTTACCTTATGAACAGATGCTACTACACAAGCAACTTACTGACAATATAACAGCAAAAATATTTAATGCATCCCTTTATATATGAAATATGATACGTATTTATACTCACTAGTTGCAGGTCTCCGACAGCTTGCTGTTGTCAGAGAGATGTTTTCCTCCCGAGGGGCCTTGTGACAAGCAGTCGCGTTAATGAATAATTAATTGCTGATCATATAGCTCTAGCTTCACTTGAAGTGCGTCGTTGGTTTTACTAGAGAAAATAGGACTTTATATGAAGCATACCAGAGAGAGAGAGAGAGGGGGGACTTTTTATATCAAACTCTCTTATTTAATTCTCTAGGTCAAAGTTTATAAAACTATAAGGTGTACAGTTTTCAAGTGAGCAACTTTTCTGCTCTATCAAATCAAGTTGTAAATGATACATCTTAATGTGTATCATCCCTCTAAAAAGAATTAAGCTTTGTTTATATGTGAAACAAATACCAATGCATTCATTGTCCTTTATCTTACGCATACTTTCGTGTTGCCAGACTGAGAGAGATGATTGTATTTAAAAAGTATTTACTTCAAATGGAAAGACAAAATAGTTACCTTTCAAGAAATATAAAATGTCCGCGTAGAACAGGTAAAGATGTTTAAATACGTCTTTCTAGCACCACGAAAGTTAAAACATCTGATCAAAGAATAAACACTGGGTTTCTTGGTCTAAAATAAGGCTTTTAAAAAATAAAAGCATTGGCAGTAACATTTGTAAATCACTTCAAAAACACAGCATGTAAATTTATTTGTTACCTTTTTATAAATGCTGTTTAGACCCTACGCGTTTTGCACACATGAGTAAACAGGAAGCTATACTTACTAACAAGGAAGTTAAGCAAATATGAATACTGTATTTCTTTACTTCAACCTATGCGTAATATTAAGCTATATTTACAGTGGCATTTTATCATATCTTTATACAATTTTTGACATATTTTATTATGGGAATTTGGAATTCGTAATCTACTAAAATAAAGGACAGCTCTAATCCTAATGGGAGTACTTTTAAAATAGACCTACCGGTACTTTATTACAATTAACATAAGCTGCTTTCTATACAACCCCCCTTTTTTTACCAGGAGACGGAAAACAGCAGAATTAATGAGATAGCAACTACATGTATCACTATTTCTTCTAGTAGTAATGGAAGTTCATCTATTATGATTCTATCAACATTATATTACATACACAGTTTTAGAAACTCTGAACTTTTATAGACATCAGAGTTCAACTGTTTACAAGGTACAAGTACAAATAAAAGTCGACCAGTGTGGATTTCAGCAGTCGTCATTGAACACAAAAAACAAGCAAATTATTTGATGTTTTATTGCAATAATAAAGTTTAAAAGATCGATTACCTGAAAAGGTAACAATGTATTGAATTCAATACATAAACTGCTGCAAGTATAAAAGGACATTCTACCTACATGTACATACATATACCCATAATCAAGGTTTTTGCATATATTCAATAAACAATGTAACAAATCCCGATGCTTAATTTCTCTTTAGTCTTATTAAAAGTACAAAAAACGCACAAAATTAATGAGGGCGCTTCTCAATGAAAACATGATTTCAGCAATGAGATGATGCAACTTGTAGAGGTAATCTTGTTCAAAGAACTCCATTTTGCAGTGGAATCCAACAATATTTTTTGTTGTTTCTCAATTCCCATTGAAATTTCAGCTTTGCAAAGCTTGTTGAGATGCTCTTTGCATGTTCCAAATAAACCACAGATCATGTTATCTTACATCCCCAAAACTCAATGAGGATTTGTTTTTTAATAGGCCCTTCTAAATGTATGAAAATCTCCTGTCCGTATCTCCTACATGGGTCACACATCACTTTTCCACAGTTTAATTGTTTTGTCATTTTCCAAAGCTGCCGATGCAATGATATTCTCTGTAGGATGGCAGGCACAACACAGAACCACATCTATAATGAATAAAAAGAAGATTAAGCTTTACTTGCTTTAACATAATACTTGTAACTGAACTTTATCCTGTTTTGTTATTTTACCCACCTGTGTGTCCCTGCAGTTTCTGAACAACCTCTTTTGTTTGAAGATTCCAGATGTAAACCAGATTATCTTCTGATCCAGACACAATCCACTGAACAAATTAAAAGAAAAAAGTACTGTAAACATTCTTTTCTGCCCACAATTCATAATTCCTCAGAATCACAATTTCTGTTCAATCAAAAATACTTGGATTTCTTAGATTGTCATTGTTAGTCTTTAATGCAATTTTAGTACGTTGTGACAAATTTCCACAGAAAATTTGTGACTGCATATACAAAGCATAAATTAATCCCATGCAGAGGATAGAAAACTGTTAAAAAAAAATGAGTACTTACCTTTCCACCTGTCACAGAAAAGTTAGCAAATATGCAATACTTTTCATTCTTGTGTCCTGTGTATGTCTTTAGACACTGCAACAATTAAAACAATACACTGTGAATACACATTTAAAAAGTTCTGTCTAGTTTCATAAGCCCTTACGACAAACAAACAAGATATCATGATTGATGGATAAGTCATAAATTTGCATATAAAAACAAGTAGGAAGTTCATTTAACTTTTAAAAAACTTCAACTTCTGAAATTACCTTTCCCTTGCTGTAGTCCCACAACTTCAGAGTGCTAAAATTAAAATATTCAATTTAAATTTCTACCCACTATCAATGGCATTTATGTTCAGTACATCAAATATCATATTGAGAGTTTTTATTTTCATGCTCACTTGTCTAGTGTTGCTGCCAAAATATATTTTCCATTGGGGGAGAATTTAACAAAAGACACTGGAGGGTTGTCGTCATCTGAAAGGTAACAGAGACTGGCTAGACCACAGATTCTTGAAAAGTAACATAACATCAGATTATTGTTTAAATGATCTAGAGAAGCACATTACCAGTACTTATTCCCCTCAAAATTTGTGTTCTTGTACAGAATGTCTCACACCTGAACATTTTCTTCCAGTATAAATAATCCTGAAGTTTACAGGAATAGCTACATGTATTTCCAGTCACTGACCAATGTACTTTCTTTGTTTTAATACAGGTATGTGTTCTGACTTAAAATTCATACATACACAGGATCAAATCCAAATCATAATTCTAAATACATGTATTAAAGTCAGTAAGTTATGTGACCTACACTAAATTTTGAATATGCTTAGTAAATACACTGAGAAGCCATAATTTGTGTAAGATTTTGAATACATACCTATCAATGTTTTTAAACACTGTCCTGAAGCTGTGTCCCAGATTCGACTGAAATTAACAACACAATTATGAATTGATAATTACTGAAATCCTTGCAATTTTTTTTCTATTTCAGTATTCCCTTGACAGGGCTAAGATTAATAAAAATTGATCTCAACAGTGACTTTCGTTACATTTTAACATCGAAACACTTTAAATATTTCTATTTCATCATCGCTTTGTCAAGTACTGATATTAACATCTCGAGTTTAATTTCTTAAAAACACATACTTACCAGAGTCCATCATAACTACTGGATACTATGAGTGACCCATCTCTGTTGAAATGAACCTGTCAGAAGAAAATCACAATACACATCAGTTAGATATTCAATGGATATACATGTATGCATCAAAGGTGTAAATATTACCTGCATTCAGCCATTAAGATGGGTCAGTATGGTTCATTTTGTCTTACATGCACAACAAAATCACCTACGGTATGTTCTTTACTGCTCAATATATGCTTATATTTCATTTAACATTTCTAGACTTTAAAAACAGTATTTAGAAATTAACACTTTTATCACATGATTAGATCAAATTGAACACATTTAAATGCCTTGAAATGCCGATACATCTTCTAGGAAAATGAGGAAATGATGCATGTACATTGTATATATATATATATATATATATATATATATATATATTCAGCATTAAGTAGTTAAGTAGTGCAGTTATCAAAACAAAGAGAATCACATTATAAGCAGATGTATCCAAGAAAAATAATAAGAACTCATGTAACAATCAGCAAAAAAAAAAAAGTGAAATACACAAGAGACATCATAATACTGCATCAGAATATGTATATGCTATCATTTACATTAAATAAGCTTGAGGAGCAACATAAATCAGTACATTCACATATTCAGTGATGTTGTATCAGTCAATATTTCCTTCATAACAAGTATACATACTTTTAAAATTAAATTTATTTGTATACATACATTACATTGTATGTACATGTATACACTTTGCATGATGCTGATTTTTTTTTCTTAAAGGAGCAATCAAATATGTTCAGTTTTCCTTTAAACATTCATTCTTAAAAAAATTTGAAATTAGACACATTTCTTCAGTATTTTGAGACTATGTTCAAATGTTTAGCAACTAAACACCTGAAGATGATTAGAAATCAGACATTTTTGCCAATGAAAAAGTGAAACAAAAATTTGGTTAGCATTGTATTTGGGATCCAAACATCTAACCTTTCGGTGTACAAGTGCTGACTGAGATTGGTTGCTTACTTACAGCTGTGACAGGATCTGAATGGGCTGGGAGGGTCTTTAAACATTTTCCAGTTTTTACATCCCATATCCTCACACTTTCATCAAACTAAAATAATCAAAACAAAATTCATGTTAGTAAAAGGAAAACAAATACGCAATATACAATATGTATCCAAATAATAAAAAAAAAAGTCTCATTCATTTAAATTAAATAAAAAAATGAAAGAGTACATCCACCATTATACAATTTTCAAGATCATAATGAATAAAATCTGTAAAATAAATCTGTGGCATAACCCGGCGAGTTTTCGTCTGAAGTCAACTGTACAATAACTGCGATACAGAACACTTTTTGCATTTCTTATGCAAATGAGCAGAAACTGTACATTCTCTGCAAAATATCAACAATAAACTACCATTGATTTATTTCTGGGATGACGGAAAACTAAATCTGTATCTTAAATGATATAGACATAAGAATCATTCAAATCTCATGATAGCACTGATAGTATTAATTCAAAATTTGAGATGAATTAAGAATAGAATTTTACAATGTAAAGTTACCATTGGCACTGGTGTATTCAAAAATTTTCGAAAGGAGGGAGTGGGGTAGTACACAAATGAATTTCTTCAAAAAAAAAAAAAAATTGTCCATACTGGAAAATCGGGGATTTTGTGGGAGTAGATTCTTAATCAGGCCTGACACTATGTGCGTGATCGTTATGGGTTGATAAATTAAAAGTGTCTACAAGTTTAGTAAACATAATTTACGAAAGCTAAAAAGAAAAAACAAGAGGCCCACGGGCCTTATAGGTCACCTGAGTATCATGTATCAACTTTACCATGAGCCCTGCCATAACACCAGAGCGCTGCTCTAAAACCAGAACCTTGACCCAGGGGACATAAAATTTACAATTTTGGAAGAGGCACCATTACATATCATAACTATACTCTTAAATCATCAGCTTAATACCCAGGAGAAAAGGAGAAGATTGTCAAAGAATTGTTGCATTTTTTACAATGTAATCATTACAGGCCCTAACACCAGAACCCCTGACCCAGGGGCCATGAAATTAACAATTTTGGAAGAGGCATCCTTTCTCATCATAACTGTGCATTCAGTTTGTTTGCTGAATACCCAGGAGCAAAGAAGAAATTTTTTAAAGAAATAATGCATTTTCACAATATATTCAACAGAGCCCTGCCCTAACAACAGAACCCCTGATTCTGGGGCCATGAATTTCACAATTTTGAAGAGGCACACTTACTCATCATTACTTTACTCATAGTTCATCGGCTTAATACACAGGAGAAAAGGAGAAGATTGTCAAAGAATTATTGCATTTTTTACAATGTAATCAGTAGAGCCCAACCCTAACACCAGAACCTCTTACCCAGGGGCCATGAAATTCACAATTTATGGAGAGGCAACCATGCTCACCATAACTATGTTCTTAGTTTATTTAATACCCAGGAGCAGAGAAGATTTTCAATGAATTAATGAATTTTCACTATATAATCAGTACAGCCCCGCCCTAACACCAGAACCCCTGACCCTGGGGCCATGAAATTCACAACTTTGGAAGAGGCACTCTTGCTCATCATAACTATGTACTTAGTTTATTTAATACCCAGGAGCAGAGAAGAAGATTTTCAAAGAATTAATGCATTTTCACTATATAATCAGTAGAGCCCCACCCTAACACCAGAACCCCTGACCCTGGGGCCATGAAATTCACAACTTTGGAAGAGGCACTCTTGCTTATCATAACTATGTACTTAGTTACTTTAATACCCAGGAGCAGAGAAGAAGATTTTCAAAGAATTAATGCATTTTCACTATATAATCAGTAGAGCCCCACCCTAACACCAGAACCCCTGACCCTGGGGCCATGAAATTCACAATTTTTGAAGAGGCTCTCTTCCTCTTCATAACTATATACTTAGTAAGTTTATTTAATACCCAGGAGCAGAGAAGAAGATTTTCAAAGAAATAATGCACTTTCACTATATGATCTATATAGCCCCACCCTAGCACCAGAACCCCTGACCCTGGGGCCATGAATTTCACAATTTTGGTAGAGGACTCGATGCTTATTACAACCAAGCCAACAGTTTGACTGCTTGATGTCCAGGAGTAAAGAAGAAGATTTTTAAAGATTACATTAATTTTGATAGTTTTAGTCCCACCCCTCAGGCCCCAGGGGGGTAGGGGTCATGAATTTCACAATTCTTACTCCCCTGCACCCACAGATGCTATATGCCAAATTTGGTTGAAATTGGTTCAGTGGTTCCAAAGAAGTTGAAAATGTTCAAATGTTAACGCACGACGGACGATGCACGCCGACGGACGAAAACAGATAGCAATAGGTCACCTGAGTAAACTCAGGTGACCTAAAAATGAAAAAAGGGGAGGATACCAATGTGCACGCGTGAGTGCTGGATCCGACTTTGGTTACCCTATGTTTTAATGTTTCAAACATGAAGGTAATATGCCCCACTTCTTTCATCTGTTTATTTCAATTTGGAGCCAAGAATTTTTCTCTCAGAATACAACCTCTCTGAAACATTTTTGCTTCAAATAAATTTCCACTTGATTCTTATGAATCAAAATGTTTAGCACTAAATTTGTATCTTAAATTAAAAAAAATGTCAGCAAGAGCTAAACAGAAAGGGATAAACCTATGCAAACAAATACAAATAAAATTTTGGGAAAACACATTATATAATGCATCTCATAATTACAGCTACATGTATTTAAATTGATAGACATGGTCATACCTGTACGTCCACCGCACTAGGCATTTAAGTTGCGATTGCTAAAAAAGGGGTACCAAATCAACTTTCTGCAAAATCATCTGATTGGTTGAGAGATATGTACCCAAATAAACATGTAAATTAGTGAGGTAATAAGAAAGGTCATGTCACAAGTCATTTAGAATATTCGTTTCCTACTGTATAAGAGATACAGGGTGGGGCTCGGCTTGAGCTATCGCTCTCGCCTTTAGCTCTGCCCTGTATCTCCGATACAATAGGAAACTCATATTCTAATAGTCGGGAACAGAAAACTTTTAGATGAAATTTCTGAATAACAGCAGTTCAATGGCATGATAAATTCAAAGTCTCTCATTAAGTTCAAGTAAAGGTATCCACTGAATATAAAGTCTTGCTTAAATTCTTTAAGAATACGCTTTTCAGATTTCTTCATTGGAATCTTCCAAAATTTGGGTAACAGATCAGTTTGTTAAAGTTCTGGCTCAATATGCCAGAGACAATGGATTCTGGACCAAGTTTAATCGTCCATATGATGTGCTGGGTGGGGCTGGTTGGGGAAAGTGGTGTACTTGATTGGTAACATACATGGATATTCTAAAGTAAACCCTATTTATTATATGTGAAAATATATATTATCTATACCAAGTATACTTTATCCACAGCATAAGCCAGCAAATGATGCAATACAAGTGAATTACAGCCTACTTACAGATCCTGACACAATGAGATTTGACTGTGGATTAAAGTTACAGCAGAACACATAGTTTGTGTGGCCTTTCAGAGTCTTTAGACATTTTCCCTACAAATAAAGAATTTAACAAACTTTCTTTTCAAAAATGATCTTTCATATGTATTTCATTTATTTTAATTGTATTTATGTATTTTATTTGTTTTATGTCATTCTTATTACTAGACTAACAAAATACAAAGGACATCCAGTGTTCTATGATGAAACAATGCAATGTTCTTACAGTGGCAAAATCCCATATTTTGAGTGTTTTATCATCTGATGCACTTGCTAATAGCTTACTGTCTGAGGACCAGGCTACATCAGATATTCCCTGTAACAAAGAGAATATCTAGTTTTAATAAAAGTCCAAGTACTGATAGTTATGCAACTTCCTATCTACAACATGAAACAATTCATGATTAAATGTAGCTGATTTTCATAAAATTTACATTTAATAAATTGAAATGCACTGAATATACATAAAAAGTATCTCATATTCAAATCTGAAAACATTGCATACAAAGTATACTGTTGCCTGTATTCTTAAAGGTATAGAACAATCCTTTCATCTTAAAATGAGTAAGTACTCACCAATTTATGTCCAACAATTGTCTTTTCAAATTTTCCATCAAAAGCTCCCCAAATTTTTATCAGTTTGTCTGCGGCTACAAGCACAAATTTGGATGGATTCAATGCAAAATTATGCTGCACAAAACTCTCTTTGGGAAAATTCAATTGAATAAAATTTCATGTTAATGTTAGTGTTAATGGCTATCATTGATTTACCAGAACTTGCCAACCATTCTCCATTGGGACTAAATTTCACAGAAGATACCGCCTTTGTATGTCCTGCCATTGTAAACTTTAAAGTGTAATTAGGTCTCTGAAATAAAGAGGAAGTTGTCAAGATTATAGATTATCTTTGAACAATATCTTTAAATATAATAATAATTGCATTAAATTGATGAATATCATGGACTATCATGATATGTGTCATTAAGTAAATAAAGGTGACAAAAACATAACTGGATTTTTAAGTGTAAACAGGTCTAGGCGGCCTCTGTTTTAGGAGGATAGATTTTATCCTCTGAAAACAGAGGATAGCGGTCTTGCCACCTACTGGAATTTTCAAAACTAAGGGCAGTTAACTCTTAACCAAACAAATAACAACAACTCTTGCATTTATGAACCGTACGCTGATTTCGAAATCAGAACATACTAGTATTAATTGTAACGGGGACCGTTACAGATGTTCCCCAAACGCTCCCCAACTTCCTTTTGGTGTCTTATTCCCTGTAAGCTTCATTAAATAAGGCAATGAAGTATATTGGGTTTTTTCACGCATTACACGAGCGCGCACGGGCATACATGTACAAAATGACCATGTCAATTTGTCTACACTTTTAATACATCTTTATATTCAAATTTCATTAAAAGATAAAAAAAATTCGGCTATATTAAGTATATCTGTCATTTTACGCATTGCACGCGCGCGCACGTGCATGCATGTCCATGATGACCGTGTCATCTTGTCAACACTATAAATATATCTACATATTTTGTGTATCAACTCATTGCATCAAAAAGTATAAAAGTTACAGCTATATCAAGTATATTGGTCATTTTAGCATTGCATGCGCGAGCACGTGCATGCATATGCATGTTGACAATGTCGTCTTGTCTACATTTATAATATGTCTATATATTCTGAGTATCAAAGCATTACATCAAAAAATGTAAAAGTTATGGCTATTTCAAGTATATTGGGCATTTTACTCATTGCACGCGCACGCACGTGCATGCAAATGCATGCATGTGCGCGCTGATCATGTCATCTTGTCTACACTTCTAATATATATTTATATTCTAAGTTTCAAAGCAATTCATCAAAAAATATACAAGTTAAGTCTATATCATTTGTATAAGTTATTTCAATCAATGCGCATGCGCGCACGTGTATGCATGTGCATTCTGACCATGTCATCTTGTCTACACTATTAATATATCCTTATATTCTGAGTATCAAAGTATTTCATCCAAAGACATGAAAGTTATGGCCAAATCAAGTATATTGGTCATTTTACTCATTGCACGCGCACGCACGTGCATGCACGTGCGCTCAAAATGACCTTCGTTCCGCAAATCTACATAACATTCCTATTAACCCTAAAAAGGTTTCAACTCAATCGGATGTATAGTTTCGGAGATCACTCACGGACAAAAAAGTACCCAGGAAGAAAAATAATAATAACTAGAAACTCATTGCGAGCAATGAGAGGTCTTCCGTTCGATTCTGAAAATAAAAACGAAAATTCAAGCTGAAAAAGTGATAAAAGAAATTCAGACGCTGGAGATTTAACCCTGATCGTCAGTGTGAAAATCCAATGTGATTTCTTTGATCACTTCCTGTGACAAGCGGAAGTGACGACTGACTCGTTTAACCCAAATGGTTTCGCCTACTCCTCAAGGTCTATTACTCATAAAAGTTTGGTCTTTTAATATTTTACCTGCTTTTAAGATCTCGCTCAAGAAAATTTCTCATTTTGAGGACAGAAAAACACGCGACCGGAAGTGAATTTTTGGAAGCTATTTAAGGTTACACTAGACATTTGCACTCTGAATAACATATTCAAAATTCATTTTAAATACTTCATCTATAAAGAATATTTATGGGAACGTAAAATATTCAAATTATTTAGTTTTTCTCTTATAACCGGAAGTTGTCGTTTTTGTTTCCGGTGGGACCAGCATCTTTCGAATCTGCGAAAAAGATACAATAAAGTGATGTAATTTTTAATTAGAAAAAGAAAAGTTGAAATTTTCGATTTCTTTGATCACTTCCTGTGACGACCGGAAGAGACGGCTGACGCTCTGAACTCGAATGGTTTTGTCTACATCTTAAGGTCTGTTGCTCATATAAGTTTGGTGTCTTAATCTCTTACCGTGTTTGAGATCTTGCTCAGACAACTTACAATGTGATATTCTTTGCATGTAAAATTATATTTATATATGCTCGTAGTAAAGACACCTAAAATATTACATGGGTCTTTCAAAATGCAAGGATATTTAAGATTTCTTTTAAAAAATGAGAATAACGCAGAATTCACAAAGAAGAAAACACTCAATATCGTTTCTAAAGATGAAAACATAAATTAAAACTAAGAAATGAGAGATTGATTGATTGATTGTATGTTGTTTTACGTCCCATTCGAGAATTTTTCACTCATATAGAGACGTCACCATACACCGGTGAAGGGCTTCAAATTTTGACCTTTACTCGGCACTCAGGGCCATTGAGCAGTGAGGGATCTTTATCGTGCCAACGCCTGCCGTGACACAGGACCTCGGTTTTTAAGGTCTCATCCGAAGGACCCGCAACTTTCACTTCAAAGTGCCGAGCGCATGGCGAAGGCACAGTTGCTACCTATTTTTTATCGACTTAGGTCTGTTGCGGCCGAGATTCGAACTCACGACCTTCCGATCACGGAGCAAGCGCTCTACCATGTAAGCTACCGTGAAAGGTAAAATGAGAAAGAAAATTCAGACATAATTCGGAATAAACCCAGATCGCTTGCTTTGAAATTCAATATGGAAACTACTACACCAGCGCAATTTTACCATTCATCATCGATTTTTACTTTGTATCAATGCTTGAAGTAACAAGCGTCAAGGAGGATAAATTTTTTATAGAATGCGAACTAGCTAGCCAAATTTTGTGCAAGCAGATTAACATCGGAATTCGTTAATTGAGTTTAATAAACAATAACTGTCAGCAGAATAAATAAACTATTACTGATGAACTGATGATACTGTTTACTTCTTTTATTCCTTATACATATATATTCAACTTTTTATTCCATGCAATTCCATATACATGTATTTCACGTCCATGTTATCTTTATCTGCTCTTCTGTATCAGACCATTTGTCTATATGAAAAGGGAGGGGTGTTATAATACATTATTTCGCGCCAAAGGTCACGAGCAAATCTTCGCTCTTTTCTTTAAAATGTTTGTTCCATTGAATGGTTTCCATCATCATATATAATATTCTATGTACCGTACAAATTACTAATTTTATTGCATTTGGAGGTCACAGTATTTATGTTTTCAAAGACCTATTATCCATTTCCAAAATCAGCCAAATCCAATAATTCCTGTACATTTCATCGGTCCTTATGCTTGTTTCGTTCAACAAGACGTTCGGCTGTCTCCGTAAACTACGACCAGCTCGTCGGAGTTTACGGAGACGGCCGCCATTTTGACCCCGCTTCAAATTTTAAAATGCAAATATCTAGAGTTTGAATTTATCAAATTTAAAACAAACTATATATTAAGTATTTTTGGAAGTGTTTCTATTAACCATAATAATATCAAAGAAAAATAATGAAAAACAAAAAAGTTGAAAAAATCCATTTGTGAAATTCGCTTCCGGTGGTGACCGGAAGCATCGACGACACACAAAAAATTGGTCAGAACATCTACAAGTCATGCTCTATCATCTTTGACATGTCTCACGTTCATATCTTTAGCCGTTCTAGAGGAGATAGAAAGACAAAAATCCAATTCAAAATCAGAAAATTGGCCATTACTTGGAACCGAAAGAGATTTTTCGAATTTTCTCCTCAAATGCACAAAGATCATAATAATGTCCATTATCCCTGAAAAAATCACTGAAAACCACTGAATAGTTTTTGAGAAAACGCGTGCACAAAATATGGGAGGAAAAATAAGAATAACAACTAGAAACTCATTGCGAGCAATGAGAGGTCTTCCGTGTGATTCTGAAAATAAAAAAGAAAAGTCAAGCTGAAAAAGTGATAAAAGAAATTCAGACACTCTGGAGATTTAACCCTAATCGTTAGCATGAAAATCCAACGTGCTAACCATTAACCATTCACTTTCTTACATCACTTCCTTTCACGACCGGAAGTAACGGTGATGCAAGATTTTCTCACGATTTAAATAAACTGATGACTGAATATCAGTCCTGAAAGTTTTAGTCCTCAGTCGTTTACTGTTGCCGAACAATATTGTGGGACTAAATTCTAATTCTGAGAACAGGTAAACACACAACCGGAAGTGAATTTTATAAAAATCTCTGACTGGTCTCTAGACATTTGCAGTATCTACAACATGCATGAAATCATTTCAGGTACTTCATTGATACGGGATATTTATGAGAAAGTTAAATATAAGAATAACGTAGTTTATCTCCTAAAACCGGAAGTTGACGTTTTTGTTTCCGGTGGAATCTAACATATTTCAAAACAGCAAAAGAGATGCAATAAAGTCATGTAAGTTTTAATTTTAAAAAGAAAAGTTAAAATTTTTGTAATCTTTGATCACTTCCTGTGACAAGCGGAAGTGACGACTGACGCGTTTAACCCAAATGGTTTCACCTACCCCTCAACGTCCATTACTCTTAAAATTTTGGTGTTTTAATCTTTTACCTGTTTTTGAGATCTCGCTCAGACAACTTCTCATTTTGAGGACAGGAAAACACGCGACCGGAAGTGAATTTTTGAAAAAATAATTAAGATTACTCTAGACATTTGCACTCTGAATAGCACATTTAAAATTCATTTCAAATACTTTATATATATAGAATATTTACTGGAAATTAAAAAACTCAAATTATTTAGTTTTTCTCTTCTAACCGGAAGTTGTCGTATTTGTTTCCGGTGGGACGAACATCTTTCGAATCTACGAAAAAGATGCAATAAAGTGATGGAATTTATAATTAAAAAAAGAAAAGTTGAAATTTTCGTTTTCTTTGATCACTTCCTGTGACGACCAGAAGTGACGACTGACGCTCTTAACCCAAATGGTTTTGCCTACATCTTAAGGTCTGTTGTTCATAAAAGTTTGGTGTCTTAATCTCT